CGGGCTGAGCGATGCGGCTGGCGGGTACGGGGGGGTCTGTGGGGCTCTATGGGGTGGGTATGGGGCTCTGTGGGGCAGTTTGGGGCTCTATGGGGTGGTTATGGGGCTCTATGGGGCAGTCTGGGGCTCTATGGGGTGGTTATGGGGCTCTATGGGCGGTCTGGGGCTCTATGGGGCCGTTTGGGGCTCTATGAGGTGGTTATGGGGCTCTGGGTGGTTATGGGGATATATGGGGTGGGTATGGGGCTCTATGGGGCAGTTTGGGGCTCTATGGGGTAAGTATGGGGCTCTATGGGGTGGTTATGGGGCTCTATGGGGTGGGTATGGGGCTCTATGGGGCCGTTTGGGGCTCTATGAGGTGGTTATGGGGCTCTGGGTGGTTATGGGGATATATGGGGTGGGTATGGGGCTCTATGGGGCAGTTTGGGGCTCTATGAGGTGGTTATGGGGCTCTATGGGTGGTTATGGGGATATATGGGGTGGGTATGGGGCTCTATGGGGCAGTTTGGGGCTCTATGGGGTGGTTATGGGGCTCTATGGGTGGTTATGGGGATATATGGGGTGGGTATGGGGCTCTATGGGGCAGTTTGGGGCTCTATGGGGTGGTTATGGGGCTCTATGGGCGGTTTGGGGCTCTATGGGGTGGGTATGGGGCTCTATGGGGCAGTTTGGGGCTCTATGGGGTGGTTATGGGGCTCTATGGGCAGTATGGGGCTCTATGGGGTGGTTATGGGGCTCTATGGAGTGGTTGTGGGGCGCGGCAGCGTGGTTGTGGGGTTTGGGGCTCTATGGGGTGGTTATGGGGCTCTATGGGGTTTCGGGCTCTATGGGGTGGGTATGGGGCTCTATGGGCGGTTTGGGGTTCTATGGGGTGGGTATGGGGCTCTGTGGGCTATGGGGCTCTATGGGGAGGCTGTGGGGCGGTTTGGGGCTCCATGGGGCGGTTTTGGGGTCTATGGGATGGTTCTAGGGCTCTAGGGGGTGGATATGGGACTCGATGTGGTGGTTTTGGGGCTCTATGGGGTTCTCTGTGTTTTTTATGGGTCTCTGTGGGATGTCTCTGTGGTTTCTATGGGGTTCCTCTGTGGTTTCTATGGGGTTGCTGTGTGTTTCTATGGGGTTGCTGTGTTTCTATGGGGTTGCTGTGTTTCTATGGGGTTGCTGTGTTTCTATGGGGTTGCTCTGTGGTTTCTATGGGGTTGCTCTGTGGTTTCTATGGGGTTGCTGTGTTTCTATGGGGTTGCTCTGTGTTTCTATGGGGTTGCTGTGTTTCTATGGGGTTGCTGTGTTTCTATGGGGTTGCTGTGTGGTTTCTATGGGGTTGCTGTGTGTTTCTATGGGGTTGCTGTGTGTTTCTATGGGGTTGCTCTGTGTTTCTATGGGGTTGCTGTGTTTCTATGGGGTTGCTGTGTGTTTCTATGGGGTTGCTCTGTGTTCCTATGGGGTTGCTGTGTGTTTCTATGGGGTTGCTGTGTTTCTATGGGGTTGCTGTGTTTCTATGGGGTTGCTCTGTGTTTCTATGGGGTTGCTCTGTGTTTCTATGGGGTTGCTGTGTTTCTATGGGGTTGCTGTGTGTTTCTATGGGGTTGCTGTGTGTTTCTATGGGGTTGCTCTGTGTTTCTATGGGGTTGCTCTGTGGTTTCTATGGGGTTGCTGTGTGGTTTCTATGGGGTTGCTGTGTTTCTATGGGGTTGCTATGTGTTTCTATGGGGTTGCTCTGTGTTTCTATGGGGTTGCTGTGTTTCTATGGGGTTGCTGTGTTTCTATGGGGCTCTATGGGGCAGCTCCCTGCCCCCGCAGCCCCCCTGCGCTTTGCGGCCGCCCTGGGGCTCCTTTGGCTCCTGGGCTGGGTCCTGCTGGGGCCCCCCCGCACCCCCCCTGCGCTGCAGCGCCTCCTGCTGGCCCGTGAGTACCGGGGGGCGCCCCCTGGCGGGGGGAGGACTCACACAGGGGTCACATGATCGGGGGGGCTCTAACGCTTCCCCTCCCCCCCCTTTCCCCACCCCTAGGCCCTGAGGCCCCGCCCACAGCAGGTACGTGACGGGGGAGGGGCGGGGTGTGGGGGAAGGGGCGTGGCTTGTGACGTGCCCCGCCCCCCCCCAGCGCCCCGCCCCCCCCGGTTCAAGTGCGGGCTCCCCCGGCCCTGCCCCCCCGCCCATTTCGCCTTCCGATTGGTCAGCGGCGCCGCCAACGTCATCGGGCCCAAGATCTGCCTCGAGGACCGCGTGTGAGCCCCTCCCCCACCCCACCCCCTCCTCCCATCCCCCACCCCCCATTGAGCTCTATTGACTCCCCTCCCCCACCCCCCATTGAGCTCTATTGACTCCCCTCCGCCTCCATTGCCCCCCATTGACTCCATCGCCCCCACCACCTCCCATTGACCCCCATTGCCATCCCCCCAATCACCTCCACTGACCCCCATTGCCCCCCACTGACCCCCATTGCCCCCCACTGCCCTCCTCTGACCCACATTGCCCCTCACTGACCTCCATTGCCCCCCTCTGACCCCCATTGCCCTCCTCTGACCCACATTGCCCCTCACTGACCTCCATTGCTCCCCACTGACCCCCATTGCCCCCACTGCCCCCCATCACCCCCCTTGACCCCCATTGCCCCCCACTGACCCGCATTGCCCCCCTCTGACCCCCATTGCCCCCCACTGACCCCCATTGCCCCCACTGACCCCCATTGCCCCCCACTGACCTCCATTGCCCCCCACTGACCCCCATTGCCCCCACTGACCTCCATTGCCCCCCACTGACCCCCATTGCCCCCCACTGACCCCCATTGCCCCCACTGACCTCCATTGCCCCCACTGACCCCCATTGCCCCCCACTGACCCCCATTGCCCCCCTCTGACCCCCATTGCCCCCCACTGACCCCCATTGCCCCCCACTGACCCCCATTGCCCCCCACTGACCCCCATTGCCCCCCACTGACCCCCATTGCCCCCCACTGACCCCCATTGCCCCCCATTGCCCCCCTGACCCCCACTGCCCCATTGCCCCCCATGACCCCCATTGCCCTCCCCCCACTGACCCCCATTGCCCCCCACTGACCCCCATTGCCCCCCACTGCCCCCCATTGCCCCCCACTGACCCCCATTGCCCCCCATTGACCCCCATTGCCCCCCACTGACCCCCATTGCCCCCCCCATTGCCCCCCAGGTTAATGAGCAGCGTCAAGAACAACGTGGGCCGAGGCCTCAACATCGCCCTGGTCAACGGTGAGGGGGGGGAGGGGCTTAAATCCCCCTCCCCCCACCCCTTCCACTGGGGTCGTGGGGGGCAGAGAGGGGCCCTCATACCCCTCCCCCCTCCCCCCCCTCCCCCCCATAGGAGTCAATGGGGAGCTCATCGCCGCGCGCGCCTTCGACATGTGGGCGGGGGGTGAGTGAGGGCGAAACCGCGCCGGGGGAGGGGGGAGGGGGTTTATTTGGGGGGGAGGGGCTCCATGAATGGGGTGTCCCCCCCCTCCCCCACCCCCTTTTGACCCCCCCCTCCTCCCCCCCCCCCCCCATAGATGTGGAGGAGCTGCTCAAGTTCCTGCGGCCGCTGCACGAGGGGACCTTGGTGCTGGTGGCTTCCTACGATGACCCCGCCACCAAGTAACGCTATGGGGAGCTGTGGGGCAATATAGGGCCCTATAGGGCGCTATGGGGAATATAGGGCACTACGGGACACTATAGGGCCCCATGGAACAAAATAGGGCGCTATGGTGCACTATACGGTGCTATGGTGCACTATAGAGCGTTATGGGGCAATATAGGGTGCCCTGGGGCGCTATGGGGCGCTATGGGGCTCTCAAGGCCCCTGTTCCCGTCCAGGTTAACGGAGGAGTCCCGGCGCCTCTTTGGGGAGCTGGGCAGCGCCGTCGCCATGGACCTGGCCTTTCGGGACAGTTGGGTCTTCCTGGGGGCCAAAGGGGTGCAGGAGCGGAGCCCCTTTGAGCAGGTACGGCTTGGGGGGGAGGTACTTATGGGGCTGGGGGGGGCGGCACTTGTGGGGCTGCCCCATAGCGCTGCTCCCATCCCCGCAGCACGTCCGGAACAGCCGCGGCTCCAACAAGTACGAGGGGTGGCCGGAGGCGCTGGAGCTCGAGGGCTGCGTCCCCCGCAGGGCCCCCGACCCCTCCTGACCCATAAGTGCCCCCCCCCGGACCCATAAGTGGCACCTTCTCACCTCCCCCTCCACTGTGTGGTCCCAGGGGGCAAATAAAGGCTGGGCCCAAATGGAGGTGGTTTGTGTGGGGCTGGACCCATAAGTGATGTGGGGCTGGACCCGTAAGTGTTATGGGGCTGCCCCGTACGTACCACAGGAAGGGGATGATGAACAGGGGCCTGTGTTAATGGGGGGGGGTATGAAGGGGGTAATGAGGGGGTTAGGGGGCATTGGGGGTGCTTTGGTCCCAGCTTGGGGGGGGGGTGGGGGTATGGGGCAGGATGAGGTATCTATGGGGCAGCATGGAAGCACTATAGGGCAGGCTGGATGGGTGTGGGGCAGAATGGAGTGTCTATGGGGTCAGTTAGCAGCGCTATGGGGCAGAATGGAGTGGCTATGGGGCAGGTTAGCACTATGGGGCAGAATGGAGTGATTATGGGGCAGAATGGAGTGATTATGGGGCAGAATGGAGTTTCTATGGGGCAGAATGGAATGGCTATGGGGCAGGTTAGCAGCACTATGGGGCAGAATGGAGTGGCTTTGGGGCAGGTTAGCAGCACTATGGGGCAGAATGGAGGGGCTATGGGGCAGGAGGGGCCCTCAGCCCCAGCCCAGGGGCCAGGGCAGGTGGAAGCCAGGGGGAGCATGGGGCCCATTAGGCGCTATGGGGCGCTGTGGGTCAGAGCTTGTGCGGGTTCACCCAGCGATAGGTGCCCTCGTAGAGGAACCCGGCGCGCTTCAGCAGCTCATCGGCTTCGGGGGGGCCTCGGCTGGAGGGGGGTGGAGCAGGTGAGGGGCTGCCCCATAGCGGGACCCCCTGCCCCATAGCAGGACCCCACTGACCCCTCCCAAACCACCCCAGAACCCCCCAGCCTGCTCCATAACACCCCATAACCCCTGTCCCATCCCCCCCGAGTGCCCCCTCAGCCCCGAACCTGCCCCATAGCGCCCCCCATACCTGCCGAACACGTAGGGGATGGGTCTCTCCTTGCGCTCCTCGATGCTGTGCAGCAATGGGGTGAAGATGCGCCAGGCCTCCCGCAGCTCATCGCTATGGGGGGGCCCCACAGTGACCCGTAAGTGGGGGGGCAGCACCCCAAAGGGACCCATAGATGGGGGGGGAGCACCCCATAGGGACTCATAGATGGGGGGGGCCCCACCTGCGCACGAAGTGCATCTGGTTCCCGCAGAAGACGTCCAGGATGAGGCGCTCGTAGGCATCCGGCAGCTTCACATCCTGGGGGGGAAGGGGGGGGCAGTTTTGGGGTCAGTTTGGGCCATTTTGGGTTCACCAGGGCCCATTTTTGAGGTCATTTTGGGCTCTTTTGGGTTCCCCAGGGCCCTTTTTGGAGGTCATTTTGATGCATCCGTGTCCCTTTTTGGGTTCCCCAGGAGCTACTTTGGGGTCCTAGGTCCTATTTTTGGGGTTAGTTTGGGCTATTTTGTGTTCCCAGGTCCTATTTTGGGGTCTTCAGGTGTCATTTTTGGGTTTCCCAGGAATTTTGGGGTCCCAGCTCCTATTTGGGTCCTTTCCTCCCATTTTTGGGTCCCCAGGTCCCATTTTGGGCTCTTTAAGTAAGTCCCTTTTTTGGGCTCTGCAAGAGCCATTTTTGGGTTCCCTGTGAACGATTTTGGGGTCCCAGCTCCTATTTTGGGTCATTTCATCCCATTTTTGGCTCTTTAAGTCCCCTTTTGAGCTCTTTTAAGTCCATTTTTGGGCACTTAAGTCCCATTTTTGGGCTCCCAGCTCCTATTTTTGGTCCTTTTGTCCCATTTTGGGCTCTTTAAATCCCATTCTTTGGCTCTCGAAGTCCCATTTTTGGGCATTCTCAGAGCCATTTTTGGGGTTCCCAGGTCCCATTTTTGGGTTTCACATGAATTTTGGGGTTCCCAGGTCCTCTTTTGGGTCCTTTTGTCCCATTTTCACTCCCGTTTGCCCCTCCCTTGGGTCCCATTTGCGCCCCCCCCGCCCCACCTTGTAGCGGTTGCCGTAGGTGAGGTCGAGCTCGGACTCCTCGGGGCTGAGGAAGAGCCCCGGTTTCTTGGTCATCATCTTGGTGTAGACGGCCTCGTCGGGCTGCACGCGCACCACCAGCTCGTTGCGCTTGCACTGCCGGCCGAAGATGTCCCCGGGCACGTCCCGGAACTGCAGCCGCACCTCGGCCTTGCGCTCGTTCAGCGCCTTCCCGCAGCGCAGCACGAACGGGACCCCTGCCGCCGCGCCAGGGCACAGCGTGAGGGCAAGGGACGGCGAGAGCAGCGGGGACAGGGGCTCAGCACCACGGGCAGGGCATCAGCACCATGGACAGGGGCTCAGCACCACGGACAAGGTCAGTGACAGCAGAGTCAGCACCACGGACAGGGGCTCAGCACCACGGACAGGGCATCAGCACCACGGACAGGGCATCAGCACCATGGACAGGGTCAATGACAGCAGGTTCAGCACCATGGACAAGGTCAATGATGACAGGGGCTCAGCACCATGGACAGGGCATCAGCACCATGGACAGGGTCAGTGACAGCAGGTTCAGCACCATGGACAAGGTCAATGATGACAGGGGCTCAGCACCATGGACAGGGCATCAGTACCATGGACAGGGACAGCAGGGTCAGCACCATGGACAGGAGCTCAGCACCATGGATAGGGTCAGTGACACAGGCTCAGCACCATGGACAGGGGCTAAGCACCATGGACAGGGTCTCCCCACTGATAGTGCATCAGCACCATGGTCATGGTATGAGCACCATGGACACAGTATGAGCACTATGGACATGGCACCATGTCCATGGTATGACTATCATGGACAGGGCCTCAGCACCATGGACAGGGTCACCCCAGGGATAGGGAGTCAGCACCATGGACAGGGCATGAGAACCATGGGCACAGCCTCACCACCAAGGATATGGCAACAGCACCATGGGCAAGATCAGCCCCATGGACAAGGTCGGCATCATGAGGACCCAAGGTTGACATGACCATGCTCATCACTGTCACGATCATGACCATTGTGGTCATCACCATCACAGTCAACCCATGATCACCATCACCACCATGCCCCTGCCTATGGCCACCATGTCTGTCCCCCCCACACACACCCCCACTCACCATCCCAGCGCTCATTGGCCACGCGCAGGATGGCGGCCGCGAACGTAGCCGTGGTGGAGCCGGATGGCACCGTGGGGTCATCCAAGTAACCCTTGTGGGCCTCGGGGGGGCCCTCAGGGTTCCCCACATACTGGCCAAGGACCACGTCCTCTGGGGCCACCGGGCTGATGCACTTGAGCACCTTCACCTGCGGGGGGGGGGCAACGACGTGGTTATGGGGCCACCATTGACGAGATGGAGATGGGGACATGGTTATGAGGCCACCATTGATGACATGGAGATGTGATGTAGGTATGGGGTCACCACTGAGGACATGGAGATGGGGTGGAGAGGGAGGTGACATCATGGGGTCACTATGGGGTCACTATGTGGATGCTATGGGAACACTATGGGGTCGCTATGGGGACTCTATGGGGTGACTATGGGGATGCTATGGGGTCACTATAGGGACACTATGGGGACTCTATGGGGTCATGGACCTTTTCATCCCGCACATCATCGGGGTTGGTGGAGGCCGGTTTCTCCATGGCCACCAAGCAGAGCATCTGCAGGAGGTGATTCTGCATCACGTCCCTGTGGGGCAGAGCCGGGGGGCTGGCACCATGGGGCACCAAAAGGCCTTCTCCCCACCCCCCCACACATCGTCCTCACCGGATGATGCCGAAGTCATCGAAGTAGCCGCCCCGGCCCTCGGTGCCGAAGGGCTCCTTGAAGGTGACGACCACGCAGGCCACGTTGTCGCGGTTCCAGATGGGGCCGAAGATGCGGTTGCCGAAGCTGGAGGGGACGGGGACGGGATGGGGGTGAGGAGGAGGTGAGAGGCCCGCGGTGCCTGTCCCCCCCCCGGTGGCGGTGGTGGAGCCGGGCCCCACCGGAGCACCATGAGGTTCTGCACCATCTCCTTGCCCAGGTAGTGGTCGATGCGGTAGATCTGCTCCTCGCGGAAGAGCGCGCTCAGGTGCGCCGAGAGCGCGTCCGAGCTCGCCAGGTCCCGGCCAAAGGGCTTCTCCACGATGACGCGGTTCCAGCTGGGATGGGGGATAGGGGATATGGGATGGGGGATTGGGGATATGGGATAGAGGGGTATGGGGGTATAGGGATGTGGGGATAGGGGGGTATGGGATGGGGGATATGGGATAGAGGGGTATGGGATGGAGGGATAGGGGGTTATGGGGGTATAGGGATGTGGGGATAGGGGGGTATGGGATGGGGGATTGGGGATATGGGATAGAGGGGTACGGGATGGAGGGATAGGGGGGTATGGGGGTATAGGGATGTGGGGATAGGGGGTATGGGATATGGGATAGAGAGATACAGGGATACGGGATAGAGGGATATGGGATGGAGGAATAGGGCATGGAGATACAGGATAGAGGGATAGGGGGATATGGGACATGGGATATAGCAATACAGGGATATGGGATACAGGATATAGTGATAAGGGGATATGGGGATTAGGGATATGGGGATACGGGATAGAGGAATATGAGGATCAGGGTGACATGTCCCATGTCCCCATGGTATCCCCATGTCCTACCCGTCCCCATGCTCCCCTTGTGGCCCCCCCCCAACGCTGCCCCAACCCCTATCCCATGGTGTCCAACTGCTGTCCCCATGTTATCCCCATGCTGTCCCTACCGTGTCCCATGTCATCCCCATGTTTACCCCATAGCAGCCCCATGTTATCCTCATGCTATCCCCATGTTACCCCATGCTATCCCTGTGTTACCCCATAGCATCCCCATGCTGTCTCCATGCTATCCCCATGTTACCCCATGCTATCCCTGTGTTACCCCATAGCATCCCCATGCTGTCTCCATGTTATCCCCATGTTACCCCATGCTATCCCTGTGTTACCCCATAGCATCCCCATGCTGTCTCCATGTTATCCCCATGTTTACCCCATAGCAGCCCCATGTTATCCTCATGCTATCCCCATGTTACCCCATGCTATCCCTGTGTTACCCCATAGCATCCCCATGCTGTCTCCATGCTATCCCCATGTTACCCCATGCTATCCCTGTGTTACCCCATAGCATCCCCATGCTGTCTCCATGTTATCCCCATGTTACCCCATGCTATCCCTGTGTTACCCCATAGCATCCCCATGCTGTCTCCATGTTATCCCCATGTTTACCCCATAGCAGCCCCATGTTATCCTCATGCTATCCCCATGTTACCCCATGCTATCCCTGTGTTACCCCATAGCATCCCCATGCTGTCTCCATGTTATCCCCATGTTTACCCCATAGCAGCCCCATGTTATCCTCATGCTATCCCCATGTTACCCCATGCTATCCCTGTGTTACCCCATAGCATCCCCATGCTGTCTCCATGCTATCCCCATGTTACCCCATGCTATCCCTGTGTTACCCCATAGCATCCCTATGCTGTCTCCATGCAATCCCCGTGTTACCCCATAGCACCTCGATGTTACCCCGCGGGCCCTACCCCTGCCCCATGCAGTGCTGCCGGATGAGCCTGGTGACGGTGGCGTAGAGCCCGGGGGGCAGGGCCAGGTAAAAGAGGCGGTGGCTGCGGGCCCCCCCCGGCAGCTGCCCCAGCGCCGCCGCCAGGCGCTCGAACGGGGCCGCGTCCCCATAGGGGCCCTGCACGAAGCGGTGCCGGGAGAAGAAGCGCTCCAGGAGCGGGGAGTCCTCGGGGGTTGCCTGTGGGGTCAATGGGGGGCAATAGGGTTGAGGAGGGACAATGGGGGCAATGGGAGTCAATGGGGGGAAATGGTGTCAGTGGGGGTCAACGGGAGTCAATGAGGGGCAATGGGGCTCAATGGGAGACAATGGGAGTCAATGGGGGTCAATGGGAGTCAACGGGGCTCAATGGTGGGCATTGGGGGCCAATGGGGACAACACAATGGGGCTCAATGGGAGCCAACGGAGACAATGGTGGTCAATGTGAGTCAATGGGGCTCAATGGGAGGCAATGGTGGCCAATGGGCGTCAATGGGAATCAGTGGGGCTCAATGGTGGTCAATAGTGGCCAATGGGGGGCAATGGCGTCAATGGGGGGCAATGGGGCTCAATGGAGGTCAATGGGCGTCAATGGGGTCAATGGGGACAATGGTGGGCAGTGGGGGGCAATGGGGACAGTGGAGGTCAATGGGCTCCATGGGCACCTTGAGGTGCGGCAGCGTCCGCTCCCGGATCAGCTCCACCGTCAGCGGGGAGCGTGCGAAGCCGATGAAGTGAATGTCCTCGGGGAGCAGCCCGTCCCGGAAGAGCCACCTGCGACCGCGGCACCCATGGCACCCAATGGTGCTCAATGGCACCCAATGGCACCCAATGGTGCTCAATGGCACCCAATGGTACCCAATGGTGCTCAATGGCACCCATGGCACCCAATGGTGCTCAATGGCACCCAATGGTGCTCAATGGCACCCAATGGCGCTCAATGGCACACACTGGTGCTCAATGGCACCCCATGGTACCCAATGGTGCTCAATGGCACCCAATGGCACCCAATGGTTCTCAATGGCACACAATGGTACCCAATGGCGCCCAATAGTGCTCAGTGGTACCCAATGGTACCCAATGGTGCTCAATGGCACCCAATGGTACCCAATGGCGCTCAATGGCACACAATGGTGCTCAATGTTACCCAATGGCGCTCAATGGCACACACTGGTGCTCAATGGTACCCCATGGTACCCAATGGTGCTCAATGGCACCCAATGGTACCCAATGGTTCTCAATGGCACACAATGGTACCCAATGGTGCCCAATGGCACCCAATAGTGCTCAATGGCACCCAGTGGTGCTCAATGGCACACAATGGTACCCAATGGCGCCCAATGGTGTCCAATGGTGCCCAATGGCACTGGAGACCCCCCCATGACAATGGAGCCACCAGGGACAGGGCTGCCCAGGGTGGTCCCAGTGCCCCTGGGGACCCTTAGGGACAGGGGTGGCTCCTAATGGGAACACTGAGGGCAGGGGGGGCATCGGGGGGGCCTTAGGGCCATGGGGGTCACTGGGGACATTGGGGTCAATGGGGCCATGGGGGTCAATGAGGACATTGGGGTCAATGGGGCATAGGGGGTCAGTGGGGCCATGGGGGTCAAAGGGGCCATGGGAGGTCAGTGGGGGTCAGTGGGGCCATAGGGGTCAATGGAAGTCGCTGGGACTGTGGGGTTCAATGGGGCTATTGGCGGGTCACTGGGGATCAATGGGGCCAGGGAGGGTCAGTGGGGATCAGTGGGGCTGGGGGCGTCAATGGGGCTGTACCAGATGGTGGGGTAGATCTTCTTCCTGGCCAGGTCACCCTATGGGGCAGAGACAGGGGCTGAGGCTGAGGCTGGGCACAGCTCAGTGCAGCCATGGGGCTGCCCTTGGCCCCGCCCCTTCCCACTCAGCCCCCCCCCCATCAGGCCACCGGCCCCTCCCTCCCCCACAGCAGCGGCCTCTTCCTGTTCCTGTTCCCCTTCCCTTCCCCCCCATAGAGACCCATATCTCCCCCCAGCCCCACACATTACCCCCAATAGAGACCCTAGCGCCCCATATCCCCCCCCAGCCCCACACATTGATGCCAATAGAGCCCCTACCGCCCCATATACACCCCCACATATTGACCCCAATACAACCCCTAGCGCCCCATATCCCCCCCCCAGCTCCACACATTGACCCCAATGGAGCCCTGAACACCCCATATCCCCCCAGCCCCACACTTTGACTGCAATACAGCCCCTAGCGTCCCATATTCCCCCAGCCCCACACATGCCCCTGACCCATGGCTCACGGAGGCCCCGAAGATGATGAAGATGTGGGGCTGGCCCCATAGGAAGGCCCCATCCTGGCTCAGCTCCTCCCGCAGGAGCCCGCAGCCCTCGGAGCGGCCCCGGCCCGGCTCCAGCCCCGCCATGGGTCCTATGGGGCAGCGCCGGCAGCTGGGGGGCAGGGCCCGTGGGGGGGAGGGGCAGCGCCCGGACTCGTTGGGCAGGATCGGGCGGTTGGGGGGAGGGGTGGGGGGAGGAGGCGTGGGGCAGGACTTGGGGGGGGCGGGGCTGAGGACTTGCGGGGCAGAAGCTTCCTCTGCACCCTCCCCCCCCCCAGACCCACAACTGCCCCTCCGCGGACCCCCCTTCCCCCCACAAAGTCCCATCCGCACCCCTGCCCCCCAATGCCCCCCATAGCACCCAATGGCTCCCATAGACCCCCATTACCCAACCATTTCCCCCCATAGACCCCCATAAACCCCCATTTACCCCCCATAGACGCCCATTGCCCCCCATAGACCCCCACTGCTCCACCAAAGACCCCCATTTACCCCCCCATTGCCCCTCATAGACCCCCATTCCCCCCATAGACCCCCTTTTGCCCCATTGCCCCTCCCATTGCCCCCATAGACCCCCTTTTGACCCCATTTACCCCCCCATTGCCCCCCATAGACCCCCATTCCCCCCATAGACCCCCTTTTGCCCCATTGCCCCTCCCATTGCCCCCCATAGACCCCCATTGCCCCCCATAGACCCCCTTTTGCCCATTGCCCCCCATAGACCCCCATTGCCCCCCATAGACCCCCTTTTGCCCCCATTGACCCCCCATTGCCCCCCATAGACCCCCATTGCCCCCCATAGACCCCCTTTTGCCCCCATTGCCCCTCCCATTCCCCCCATAGACCCCCTTTTGCCCCCATTGACCCCCCATAGACCCCCATTGCTCCCCATTGCCCCCCATAGACCCCCTTTTGCCCCCATTTACCCCCATAGACCCCCATTTACCCCCTCATTGCACCCATAGCCCCCCATTCCCCCCCCCTTTTTGCCCCCATAGACCCCCATTGCCCCCCATAGATTACCTCCCCATTGCCCCGCATAGACCCCCTTTTGCCCCCATTGACCCCCCATAGACCCCCATTGACCCCCCATAGACCCCCATTGACCCCCCCATTGCCCCCCATTGCCGCCCCTCCCCCCCTTCTCCCCCCACTTCCCCCTCCCCTCCCCTCCCCTCCCCCACCTCCCGGCTCCTCCGCTCCCCTCACGCTCGCGCGGCTCCCCATTTCCTGGTCGCCGGCCACGCCCCCCCCGGCCCGGTCCCCGCCAGCCAATCCCCTTCGAGCTTCCTCCGGCGCTGAGCCAATAGGCACGGAGGGGAGGGGACGGGCGCCCCCCTTCAGCCAATGGGAGGAGGCGGGGGGCGGGCCGCACTTCCGGCGGAAGCCGGAAGCGGCCCCCGGGGGGCGGCGGGGCCTCGGCAATGGCGGCGGCCGCGGAGGAGGCGGCGGGGGGGGGGGGAGGGGCGGAGGCGCTGCAGCGGCTGCGGGAGGAGAACCGGGAACTGAGGGGTGAGGGGGGAGGGGGGGGGATGGGGGGATGGGGGTCTATGGAGGGTAATGGGGGTCTATGGGGGGGAATGGGGGTCTATGGGGGGGAATGGGGGTCTATGGGGGGGGGGTCTATGGGGGGGGAATGGGGGTCTATGGGGGGGGAAGGAGTTCTATGGGGGGAAATGGGGGTCTATGGGGGGAATGGGGGTTTATGGGGGGAGAATGGGGGTCTATGGGGGGGAATGGGGGTCTATGGGGGGAAATGGGGGTCTATGGAGGGTAATGGGGGTTTATGGGGGGGAATGGAGTTCTATGGGGGGAAATGGGGGTCTATGGGGGGGAATGGGGGTCTATGGGGGGAATGGGGGTCTATGGAGGGTAATGGGGGTTTATGGGGGGGAATGGGGGTCTATGGGGGTAATGGGGGTCTATGGGTGTCTATAGGGTTCTGTGGGGGGTCTGTATTTGTTACATTTATTTCCCCATATTTATATTTTATTCTATCCCATTTCTGTTCTCTTTATCCTATATCCATCCCAATATCCATCCCTATATCCTATTTCCATCCCCATATCCTTCCCTATATCCCATATCCATCACCTCTATCCCATATCCCATCTCCATTCCCATATCCCATATCTATCTTTTCTCTCCCATCTCCATCCCCTCTATCCCATCCCCATTTCCATCCCCATATCCTTTCCTCTATCCTATCTCCATCCCTATATCCCATCCCCATTTCCATCCCTATCCCCATCTCCGTCCCCTGTATCCCATATCCCATCTCCATCCCCTCTATCCCATCCCCATATCCTTTCCTCTATCCAATCTCCATCCCTCTATCCCATCCCCATTTCCATCCCTATCCCCATCTCCGTCGCCTGTATCCCATATCCCATCTCCATCCCCTCTATCCCATCCCCATATCCTTTCCTCTATCCTATCCCCATCCCTATATCCCATCCCCATTTCCATCCCTATCCCCATCTCCGTCCCCTCTATCCCGTCCCCATCCCCATCCCCGTCCCCCCGCCACAGCCGCCCTGCGCCGTTGCTCGGAGGTGCTGCGGGGCCGCTGCCAGGAGCTGCGGCGGCTGCAGGGGCTGCGCGGGGCCGAGCGGGAGCTGCTGCGGGGCCGCGTGGGGCAGGCGCGGAGCCTGGTGCAGCGCCTGCGGGCCCAGCGCGACGCCGCCATCGCCGCCACCACCGCCACCACCAGCAATGGTGCCTCCGTGGGCACCGGCACCGCGGCCATGGCCAACAACGGCACCGCCACTGCCAACAACGGCACTTCTATAGGCAACAACGGCATCACCATGGCCAACAACGGCATCACCATGGCCAACAGTGGCGTCACCATGGCCAACAGTGGCGTCACCATGGCCAACAGTGGCGTCACCATGGCCAACAACGGCGTCACCATGGCCAACAACGGCGTCACCATGGCCAACAGTGGCGTCACCATGGCCAATAACACCATCACCATGGCCAACAACGGCGTCACCATGGCCAACAGTGGCGTCACCATGGCCAACAACGGCATCACCATGGCCAATAACACCATCACCATGGCCAACAGTGGCGTCACCATGGCCAACAACGGCATCACCATGGCCAATAACACCATCACCATGGCCAACAGTGGCATCACCATGGCCAACAACGGCATCACCATGGCCAAGAATGCCACTGCCATGGCCAACAACAGCATCATCATGGTCACCAATGGCACCTCTATGGGCACCGGCACCATGACCATGGCCAGCAACAGCACCGCCATCGCCAACAGCGGCGCCACCATGGGCAATAATGGCCCCGCCATGGGCCCTGGCACCATGGCCATGGCCAACAACGGCACCACCTTGGGCAACAATGGCGCCGCCATAGCCAATAGCACCACTATGGGCACCAGCGCCGTGACCAAGGCCAACAGTGACACCGCCATGGGCAACAACAGCACCAGCATGGGCAACACCACTGCTGTGGGCACCAGCACCATGACCGCGGCCAGCAATGACACCACTGTGGCCAACAATGACACCGCTGTAGCCAACAATGGCATCACCGTGGCCAACGATGACACTGCCCTGGCCAACAGCACCGCTATGGGCACCAGCGCCGTGACAGTGGCTGACAACGACACCTCTGGGGCCAATACCAGCACATCCATGGCCACCAGCGCCACCGCCATGGCCACCAATGGCGCCGCAATGGCCAATAGCACCACTATGGGCACCAGCACCACTGCCACCTCCATGGCCATCACCAGCACCTCCATGGCCTGCGCCATCCCCGCCGCAGCCACCATCACCACGCTCACTAACACCGTGAACACGGCCACCAACATCACCACCATGGCCACCAACGCCACCTCCATGGCCACCACCAATGCTATCAATGGCGCCATCATGGCCACCACCATGGCCGCCAATGCCACCACCAGGGTGCGTCACCACCCCCGTGCCCCCTTCCTGTCCTCGTATCCCCCCCATGTCCCTCCATGTCTCCCCCATATCCCCCCCATGTTCTCCTCTATGTCCCCCCATGCCCCCTATGTCCCCTCACTGTCCCCCCCATATCCCCCCCATGTCCCTCCATGTCTCCCCCATATCCCCTCATGTCCCCCTCCATGTCCCCCCCATATCCCCCCATATCCCCCCCCGTCCCCCCCATATCCCCCTCATGTCCCCCTCCATGTCCCCCCCATATCCCCCCATATCCCCCCCATATCCTCCCCCTGTCCCCCCCCATATCCCCCTCATGTCCCCCTCCATGTCCCCCCCCATATCCCCCCCATGTCCTTCCATGTCCCCCCCATGTCCCCCCCCATCCCCCCCATATCCCCCTCATGTCCCCCTCCATGTCCCCCCCATGCCCCCCATGTCCCTTCATAGCCCCTCCTGTCCCTTCAGCCCCCCTTGGGGCCCCCAGAGGAGCTGCTCCCCTCTGACCCTGCTGACGAGGCCCCCGGTGCCCCCAGGTGAGCGTCGCTGTCCCCATTCCCCCCCCACGTCCCCCCCGCCCCATGGGGACACCCCAATACCCCCAGCACCCCCCTTTGTGTCCCCGCAGCCCCACGGAGCTGAGGCGGAGGCTGGCGGCGGCCGAGGCTGCGTGAGTCCATGGGGACAAGGGGGGGATAAAGGGGGGGTTATGGGGGGGGGGAAGCAATGAGGGGACCCCCCCTTGTGCTGTGCCCCCCCCAGGTTGGTGGCAGCGGAGGCGCGCGCGGTGGAGGTGGCTCAGAGCGCGGAGCTGCAGCTGCAGGCGCTGCGCAGGCAGCTGGAGGTACCGGGGCACGGGGGGCAGTGGGGCACGGGGGGGATGCAAGGGGGGCACAGGGGGGATACAATGGGGGCAGAATGGGGACTCAGTGGGAGCACAATGGGGATACAATGGGGGCACAATGGGGATACAATGGGGGCACAATGGGGATGCAATTGGGGCACAATGGGGGCACAATGGGGATGCAGTGGGGGCACAATGGGGATGCAATGGGGGCACAATGGGGATGCAATGGGGGCACAATGGGGATACAATGGGGATGCAATGGGGATGCAATGGGGGCACAATGGGGATGCAATGGGGGCACAATGGGGATGCAGTGGGGGCCCAATGAGGATGCAATGAGGATACAATGGGGGCAGAATGGGGACTCAGTGGGAGCACAATGGGGATACAATGGGGGCACAATGGGGATGCAATGGGGGCACAATGGGGATGCAATGAGGATACAATGGGGGCACAATGGGAAGGGGGGCGGCACAATGGGGATACATTGGGGGCACAATGGGGACTCAGTGGGGGCACAGTGGGGACTCAATGGGGCCTCAATTGAGACTCAATGGGGCCTCAATTGAGACTCAATGGAGACTCGATTGGGAATCGATGAGGACTCAATGGGAACTCAATGGGGATGCAATGGGGACTCAATGGAGACACACTGGGGCCATGCTGGGGACTCAATGGGGCCTCAGTGGGGCTCAATGGGGACTCAATGGGGACTCAATGGGAACTCAATGGGGACACCCCGGGGCCATGCTGGGGACTCGATGGGGCCTCAGTGGGGCTCAATGGGAACTCAATGGGGACTCAATGGGGACACCCCGGGGCCATGCTGGGGACTCGATGGGGCCTCAATGGGGCTCAATGGGAACTCAATGGGAACTCAATGGGGACACCCCGGGGCCATGCTGGGGCCTCAATGGGGACTCAATGGGGACTCAATGGGAACTCAATGGGGACTCAATGGGGACACCCCGGGGCCATGCTGGGGCCTCAATGGGGACTCAATGGGAACTCAATGGGGCTCAATGGGGCTCAATGGGGCCTCGGTGCCGCCCGTGCCCGCAGCAGGACAAGGCCGCGGTGCAGGCGCAGGTGACGTCGCTGCTGCTGGAGCTGCAGGAGAGCCAGGAGCTGCTGGAGAGCGGGCGCAGGGAGCGCCAGGAGCTGGAGCAGCGGTGCCGGCAGCGGGGGGGCATGGGGGGCCGTGGGGTGGCTATGGGGGCTCTATGGGGTGTTTATGGGGTCTCTATGGGGTGTCCATGGGATGCTATGGGGTCTCTATGAGGTGCCTGTGGGGTGCTATGGGGTGTCTAAGGGGTGCTGTGCCATCCCTGTGGGGTGTCCATAGGGTGGTATGGGGTCTCTATGGGTGCTATGGTGTCTCTGTGGATGCTGTGGGGTTTCTATGGGTGCCATGGGGTCTCTATGGGGTCTCTATGGGTGCCATGGAGTCTCTATGAGGTCTCTATGAGGTCTCTATGGGGTCTTCATGGGGTCTTCATGATGTCTCTATGGGTGCCGTGGGGTCTCCATGGGTGCTGTGGGTGCCATGGGTGCTATGGGTTCCCTATGGGTGCCATGGGTGCTATGGGGTCCCTATGGGTGCTATGGGGTCCCTATGGGTGCCATGGGTGCTATGGGGTCCCTATGGGTGCCATGGGTGCTATGGGGTCCCTATGGGTGCCATGGGTGCTATGGGGTCCCTATGGGTGCCATGGGTGCTATGGGGTCCCTATGGGTGCTATGGGGTCCCTATGGGTGCCATGGGGTCCCTATGGGTGCCATGGGTGCTATGGGGTCCCTATGGGTGCCATGGGGTCCCTATGGGTGCCATGGGTGCTATGGGGTCCCTATGGGTGCCATGGGGTCCCTATGGGTGCTATGGGGTCCCTATGGGTGCCATGGGTGCTATGTGGGGTGGCCCCGGCAGGGCGCAGGCGGCGCAGTCGCGGTGCCGGGCGCTGGAGGCGGCGGCCTCGGGCCATGCCCTGCAGCTGGATCAGCTCCGACTGCAGGGCCACAACCTGGAGACAGCGCTGAGGGTGGAGCGGCAGCGGGCGAGCGACGAGAAGTGAGCGGGGGTCAATGGGGAGCGGTGGTCAATGGGGAGCGGGGGTCAGGGGGGAGCGGGGGTCAATGGGGAGCAGGGGGTCAATGGGGAGCAGGGGGTCAGGGGGGAGCGGGGGTCAATGGGGAGCAGGGGGTCAGGGGGGAGCGGGGGTCAGTCGTTACTGGGGGTCAGTCATTAATGGGTGGTGGTTACTGGGTGTCATTTGTTACCTGGTGTTAGTTGGTACGGGGTAGCAATGGTTACCGGGTGTCAGTGGGGAGCAGGGGTTACCAGGTGTCCATGGTTAGCGGGGGTCCAGTCGTTACTGGGGGTCAGTCATTAATGGGTGGTGGTTACTGGGTGTCAGTTGTTACCTGGTGTTAGTTGGTACGGGGTATCAATGGTTACCGGGTGTCAATGGTTACCGGGTGTCAATGGTTACCGGGTGTCAATGGTTACCTGGTGTCAATGGTTACCGGGTGTCAATGGTTACCGGGTGTCAGTGGTTACCGGGTGTCCATGGTTACCAGGTGTCCATGGTTACCGGGTGTCCATGGTTACCTGGTGTCAATGGTTACCGGGTGTCAATGGTTACCAGGTGTCCATGGTTACCAGGTATCAATGGTTACCGGGTGTCAGTGGTTACCAGGTGTCCATGGTTACCGGGTGTCCATGGTTACCATATGTCAGTGGTTACCTGGTATCAGTGCTTACCGGGTGTCAATGGTTACCAGGTGTCAGTCGTTACCGGGTGTCAGTTGTTACCCGGTGTCAGTCGGTACCAGGTGTCAGTGGTTACCGGGTGTCAGTGGTTACCCGGTGTCAATGGTTACCAGGTGTCAGTGGTTACCGGGTGTCAGTCAGTACCCGGTGTCAGTCGGTACCGGGTGACCCCAACCCCTCGCCCCCGTCCCTACAGGCGGAAGCTGGTGCAGCTCCAGGCCGCCTACCACCACCTCTTCCAGGAGTACGATGCCCACATCAAGGCCAGCCTGGAGGGCGACCGGCGCAGCCAGGTGTGGGCCAGCACCGGCACCATGGGGGCAGGTCCCCATTGAGCCCATGGAGCCCCATTGACCCCACTGAGCCCTATTGAGTCTCATTGAGCCCCATTGACCCCACTGAGCCCCATGGAGCCCCACTGAGTCTCATTGAGCCCCATTGACCCCACGGAGCCCCATTGAGTCTCATTGAGCCCCATTGACCCCACTGAGCCCCATTGAGCCCCATTGAGTCCCATTGGGCCCCATTGACCCCACTGAGCCCCATGGAGCCCCATTGACCCCACTGAGGCCCATTAAGCTCCATTGAGACCCATTAAGCCCCATTGAGTCTCATTGACCCCATTGAGCCCTATTGATCCCCATTAAGCTCCATTGATCCCATGGAGCCCCACTGACCTCATTGAGCCCCATTGAGCCCCACTGACCCCATTGAACCCCATTAAGCCCCCTTGACCCCATTGATCCCCATTGAACCCATTGATCCCCATTGACCCCATTGATCCCCATTGACCCCATTGATCCCCATTGACCCCATTGATCCCCATTGACCCCACTGGGCCCCATTGACCCCCTTTTCCCCGGTGCAGGACCTGGCCCTGGCACGCGCCCGGCTCCGCGCCGCCGAGGAGGCGCTGGCGGCCAAGCAGGATCGCATCGATCGCCTGGAGGCCCAGGCCCAGGCCCAGCGCGCGCAGCTGGAGACCATCCCCGTGCTGCAGGCCCAGGTCTGAGCCCCCCTGACCCACAGGGACCCCCATGGACCCCCATTGCCCCCCATGTCCCCCTTCCCCCCCATATCTCCATTGCGCCCCATATCCCCATTGCCCCCGTTGCCCCCATGTCCCCATTGCCCCCCATTGCCCTCAATGATCCCATTGCCCCCATTGCCTCCCATGTCCCCATTGCCCCCATTGCCCTCAATGATCCCATTGCCTCCCATGTCCCCCATTGCCCCTTATGTCCCTCATTGTCCCTATTGCCCCCCATGTCCCCCATTGCCCCACATTACCCCCCATGTCCCCCATTGTCCCTTATGTCCCTCATTGTCCCCATTGCCCCCCATTACCCCCCATTTCCCCCCTATTTCCCCCATTGCAACCATTACGCCCCTTACCCTATTGCCCCCATTACTCCCATTACCCCCATTACCACAATTGCTCTTCTTGCCCCCATTACTGTCATTGCCCCCATTGCACCCCATTACCCATTTGCCCCCATTGCCCCTATTGCAACCATTGTCCCCATTCCCCCATTACCCCCATTGCCCCCATTCCATTCCCCCCTTACCCCCCATTGCCCCCATTCCATTACCCCCCTTACCCCCATTGTCCCCATTCCCCCCATTGTCCCCATTCCCCCCATTGCCCCATCACCCCCATCACCCCCATTGCCCCCTCACCCCCATCACCCCCATTGCCCCCATTGTCCCCATTGCCCCATCACCCCCATTGCCCCCCCAGGCCGATATCTTCAAGGCGGACTTCGCTGCGGAGCGGGCGGCGCGGGAGCAGCTCCACGCCCAGCGGGAGGCGCTGCAGGAGGAGCTGGAGCAGCTGCGGCGGCGCCTGGAGACCGAGGGGGCGGCGCGGTGAGGGCAGAACAGCCCCAAAACTACCCCAAAACTGACCCAAAACCGCCCCAAAACACCCCAAAACCGCCCCAAAACTGACCCAAAACCGCCCCAAAACTGACCCAAAACCGCCCCAAAACCGCCTCAAATCACCCCAAAACTGACCCAAATCACCCCAAAACACCCCCAAACCGCCCCAAATCACCACAAAACTGCCCCAAATCACCCCAAAACTGAAATCACCCCCAAACCGCCCCAAATCACCCCAAAAACGCCCCAAATCACCCAAAAACCGCCCCAAAACTGACCCAAAACCTCCTCAAATCACCCCAAAACTGACCCAAAACCACCCCAAAACTGACCCAAAACCGCCCCAAATCACTCCAAAGGAACCCAAAAACCACCCCAAAACTGACCCAAAACCACGACAAATCACCCCAAAGGGACCCCCAAAATCACCCCAAACTGACTCAAAACTGCCTAAAATTGACCCAAAACAGCATAAAACCGACCCAAAAATCACTCAAAACTGACCCAAAGCCGCCCCTAAATCACTGAGTCCCCCCCCAAACACTGAGTCCCCCCCCACCCCCCCATCACCCCTCACAAACTGACCCCAAATCCCCTCCCCCCCCATAGGATCCGCATGGAGGAGATGAGGAACCGGCACTCGGAGCCCGCTGGGGGGGGTGAGTGCTTGGGGGGAGGGGGAACCCCCTCTTTACACCCCCAATTTGGGGGGGGGCAGGGTCTGATGGTTCCCCCCATTCACCCCAATAAGTTTGTGGGGACCCCCCCTTTTTACACCCCCCTTTTGGGGGGGGCAGGGTCTGATGTTCCCCCCCATTCACCCCAATAAGTTTGTGGGGACCCCCCCTTTTTACACCCCCCTTTTGGGGGGGGCAGGGTCTCATGTTCCCCCCCATTCACCCCCATAGGTTTGGGGGGGCCCCCCCCCGAGGAGGAGCCCGAGCTCTGCTGCCCCAAGTGCCTGTACAAGGCCCCGGACATGGACACGCTCCAGATCCACGTCATGGATTGCATCAAGTGAGGGGGGGGCACCCCCAAAACACCCCCCCCCTGCACCCCAACCCCCACCCCCATCACAGAAGGGACCCCCCCCAAATTGGGGGCCCTTGGGGGGGGGCTCCCCCATTAAACACAATGAACCCAGAGGGGTAAATCTCAGTTTTCCACTTTATTGCCCCACGGATATGGGGGGTCCCGGCCCCTCCCCCCGCCCCCCCCCCAAATCCACCTCCCCCTCCCCCCCCCCCTCCCCCCCCCGAGGGCATTCATCGGCCCCCCCCCCACCCCACGTTGGGTTTTTGGGGGGAGGCGTCATAAATGGGGGGGGGTTGGGGGGAGGGGCAGGGGTCAGGTGACCCCTATGAGGACCCCATGGGTGGGGGGTGTTTTGGGGCCGTTTCCTCTCATTTTGGGGCTGTTTCCTCTCATTTTGGGGCTGTTTCCTGTCGGTTTGGGTCAGTTGGGGGCGTTTTGGTGCATTTCAGGGCGGGCGGCTCGGTTTTGGGGCATTTGGAGCGGGTTTGGGTGCATTTTGGTTCATTTTGGGCTGTTTTGGGTAAATTTTGGGCCGTTTTGGATCATTTTTGGCTGAATTCGCACTTTTTTGGGTCAGATTTGGGTGCATTTGGGGCTGTTTCGGGTCATATTTGGGGCCGTTTCAAGTCATTTCTGGGTGGATTTGGGGCTGTTCCAGGTCATTTTGGGGTGGGTTTGGGGCCGTTCTGGGTCATTTTTGGGTGGATTTGGGGCTGTTTGGGTCATTTTTGGGTGGATTTGGGGCCGTTTCGGGTCATTTTTGGGTGGATTTGGCGCTGTTCCGGGTCATTTTTGGGTGGATTTGGGGCCGTTTTGGGTCATTTTGGGGTGGATTTGGGGCCGTTTCAGGTGGGTTTGGGGCCGTTCTGGGTCATTTTTGGGGGGACTTGGGGCCGTTCCAGGTCATTTTCGGGTGGATTTGGGGCCGTTCCGGGTCATTTTTGGGTGGATTTGGGGAAGTTTCGATTCATTTTTGGGGTCTGTTTGGGGCCGTTTTGGGTCATTTTTGGGTGGATTTGGCGCTGTTCCGGGTCATTTTTGGGGGGATTTGGGGCCGTTCCGGGTGGGTTTGGGTCCGTTTTGGGTCATTTTCGGGTGGGTTTGGGGCCGTTCCGGGTGGATTTGGGGCCGTTTTGGGTCATTTTTGGGTGGATTTGGGGCCGTTTTGGGTCATTTTTGGGTGGGTTTGGTGCCGTTTCGGGTGGATTTGGCGCTGTTCCGGGTCATTTTGGGGTGGATTTGGGTCCGTTCCGGGTGGGTTCGGGGCCGCCCCTGGTCCCTAGGAGGCCGCCTCCGCGGGGGGGAGGGGCTCGGCGGGGGCGGGGCTGGCGGGGGGGGCGTGTCCGCGCGCGGGCACCTCGATGACGCGGGGCCGCTCGCTCAGGCGCGCCCCGCGCGGGCCCGGCTCCGCGATGCCGATGACCCAGCCCGGCAGCGCCCCCTGCCGCCCGCGCAGCTCCGCGCAGAACCGCGCCGCCTGCTCACGGGGCAGGCACAGCAGCAGGCCCCCTGCGGGACACGTGACACGGGGGGGTCAGGGCACGTGACAACACACCCCGACCCCAACAGTGGGACACCCCAATGGGGACCCACACAATGGGACACCCCAACAGGGACACCCCAATGGAGACCCACACAATGGGACACCCCAACAGGGACACCCCAATGGGGATTCCCTTAATGGGGACCCCAATAGAGACACCCCAACAGGGACACCCCAACAGGGACACCCCAATGGAGACCCACACAATGGGACACCCCAACAGGGACACCCCAATGGAGACCCACACAATGGGACACCCCAATAGGGACACCCCAATGGAGACCCACAAAATGGGACACCCCAACAGGAACACCCCAATGGGGACCCCAATGGAGACCCACACAATGGGACACCCCAACAGGGACCCCAACAGGGACACCCCAATGTGGACTCCCTTAATGGGGATCCCCCCCAATAGGAACACCCCCAATGGGGACCTCCCAATAGGGACATCTGCATGGGGACCCCCCAGTAGGAACCCACTCAATGGGGACCCCCCAATAGGACCCTCCCAAAGGGATGCCCCCCAATGAGACCCCCCAACAGGAACCCACTCAATGGGGACCCCCCAATGAGACCCCCCCAATGAGACCCCCCAACAGAAACCCACTCAGTGGGGATCCCCCAATAGGGTCACTCCCAATGAGACCCCCCAAAGGAACCCACTCAATGGGGACTCCCCAATAGGACCCTCCCAAAGGAATGCCCCCCAATGGGGACCCCCCAACAGGAACCCACTCAATGGGGACCCCCCAATGAGACCCCCAACAGGAACCCACTCAGTGGGGACCCCCCAATGGGGTCACCCCCAATAAGACCCCCCAATAGGGACCCTCCCCAGTGAGACCCCCCCAAAGGGATCCCCCAATGAGATCCCCCAACAGGAACCCACTCAATGGGGACCCCCCAATAGGGTCACCCCCATGGGGCCCCCCCAATAGGACCCTCCCAAAGGGATCCCCCCCAATGAGACCCCCCCAATAGGGACCCACTCAATGGGGACCTCCCAACAGGAACCCTCCCCAGTGAGACCCCCCCAAAGGGATCCCCCAATGAGATCCCCCAACAGGAACCCACTCAATGGGGACCCCCCAATAGGGACTCACTCAATGGGGACCTCCCAACAGGACCCCTCCAATAGGGACCCCCCCATGGGGACCCCCCAATGAGCCCCCCCCCCCCCCGTACCGGAGGTCTCCGGGGCTGTTCCGCGCAGGAGCCGCCCCCCGCCGCAGGCCGCGCTCATGGCCGCCGTGCGCGCGATCAGGGGCAGGTTGTGGATGACGAAGGTCACGTGATGGCGCTGCCGCGCCGCCAGCGCGCGCGCGTGCCCGAGCAGCCCGAAGCCGGTGACGTCAGTGGCCGCGTGCGCGCCGAACGCGCGGAGCAGCCCCGCGGCTGCGGGGGGAGGGGACGGGACGGGATCAGCCCGGGGGGGGGAGGGGGGGGACACGGGAATGGCGACATCCGGGTCCTCGGCCCCATCAATGGGCGCCCATTGCAGTGACCCCATCCCGGACCAGTGCCCTCACCCCAGTGCCCCCATCCCCATCCCAGCGTCCCCATCCCAGTGTCCCCATCCCCATCCCAGCATCCCCATCCCAGTGCCCCCATCCCCATCCCAGCATCCCCATCCCCATCCCAGTGCCCCCATCCCCATCCCCATCCCCATTAACATCCCAGTGCCCCCATCCCAGTGTCCCCACCTCTGTGTTCCCCATCCCAGTGCCCCCATCCCCATCCCAGCATCCCCATCCCAGTGCCCCCATCCCCATCCCAGTGTCTCCATTAACATCCCAGTGTCCCCACCTCTGTGTTCCCCACCCCAGTGTCCACATCCCCATCCCAATGTCCCAATGCCCCATCCCAGCATTCCCATCCCAGTGTCACCACCTCTGTGTTCCCCATCCCAGTGTCCCCATTAACATCCCAGTGCCCCCATCCCAGTGTCCACATCCCCATCCCAATGTCCCAATTTAGATCCCAACATCCCCATCCCAGTGTCCCCATCCCAACATCCCCATCCCAGTATCACCACCTCTGTGTTCCCCATCCCAACATCCCCATCCCAGTGCCCCCATCCCCATCCCAGCATCCCCATCCCAGTGCCCCCATTAACATCCCAGTTCCACCACCTCTGTATTCCCCATCCCAACATCCCCATCCCAGTGTCACCACCTCTGTGTTCCCCATCCCAATGTCCCCATTCCTATCCCATCCCAACATCCCCATCCCAGTGTCACCACCTGCGTTCCCCATCCCAATGTCCCCATTCCTATCCCAGTGCCCCCTATCCCCATCCCAGTGTCCCCATTCCCATCCCAACATCCCTATCCCAGTGTCACCACCTCTGTGTTCCCCATCCCAATGTCCCCATTCTCATCCCAATGTCCCTGTCCAATTGTCTCTATTCCCATCCCAACATCCCCATCCCGTTGTCCCTATTCCCATCTCAGTGTCCCCATCCCAATGTCCCCATCCCATTGTCCCTCTGCCCACATCCCCATCCCATTGTCCCCATGCCCATGTCCCCATCCCTATCCCATTGTCCCCATCCCCATCCCGTTGTCCCTATGCCCACATCCCCATCCCATTGTCCCCATCCCCATCCCACTGTCCCCATCCCCATCCCGTTGTCCCCATCCCGGTGCCCCGGCGGTACCGGTGCGGTTGAGCGTGGCCATGCTGAGCACGGCCTCCTGGTAGGCGGCTTCCACCTCCTCCCGCGTCACCACCAGCTTCAGCTTCTCCCAGCGCTCCGGCTGCGGGACACAGGGACCCCGATGGGTGCCGAGGGACCCCGATGGGTGCCCTGGGTGCCCTTTATGGGTGCTCTGGGTGCCCTCTATGGGTGTCCTGTGGGTACCCTCTGGGTGCTCTGGGACCTCTTATAAGTGCTCTGGGTGCCCTCTGGGTGCTGAGGGAACCTGATGGGTTTTGTAGGACCCCTTATGGGTGCTGTGATTGCCCTTTGGGTGCTGTGGGTGCCCCCATGGGTGCTGTGGGTGCCCCACTCACGTTATCCAGCCACTGGTGCGCGGTGACGGCCATGTGGGTGCCCAGGGGCTTGGTGAGCACGAGGACGTCACCGGGGACGGCGCTGTCCGGCCTGGGGGGGGGGACACAAGGGGAGGGGTGAGAAAGGGGGATGTGAAGGGGGGGGACACAAAGGAGGGGGACACAAGGGGATGGGGGACACCAGGGGACATGAAGGGAGGGGAACACAAAAAGGAGGGGACAGAAAAGGGGGTCACAAAGGAGGGGGGAAACAAGGGGGGGGGGGAGAAAGGTGACACAAAGAGAGGGGAACACAAATGGGGGTTACAGAAGGGGGGGGACACGGGAACACAAAGGGGAGGGAAACAAGGGGGTAGGTGACACTGGGGGACACAAGGGGAAGGGGGGGGGTTCGTGGGTCACATGACGCGCTCCCAGCTCACATGATGAAGTCGCCGGGCCGGCACACGGTGCTGGCCACGCCGCCAATGATGAGCCAGGGGTTCAGCGCCGTCTGCCCCCCCGTCACCGACGTCCCCCCCTCCTCGGCCGCCTCCCGGAAGCCCCGCACCAGCAGCGGCACCACCTTGTCCCTCTCCTGGGGGGGGGGGCACACACACAATGGAACAGCCCAAAATGGGGGGGGTTAAACCCCTCTTTCTGTGCCCCCCCCCAATGCCATCACCTCGGCGCTCATGCGGGTGCTGACGCTGAGCAGCATGAGGACGTTGTCGCACTCGGTCACCCCCATGGCGTAGAGGTCGCTGAGGACGTTGGCGCAGGCGATGCGGCCCTGGGGGGGGCAAGGGGGGCACAAAGGGGTTGGGGGTCTTCTGGGGTCCCTTACTGTGGGTTTAATGGGGTACAGGAGGCCCAGCAGAGGATTAGGGGGGTTCAAGGGGTCCCCAGGTGGTTTTGAGGTCCTTAGGGGGGAATTGGGGGTCCCTGGGGGGGGACACAAAGAATAATGGGAGAGGGAAGGGTTTTGGGGTCTTTTGGAGGAAATTTGGGGTCCCTTAAAGTGGGTTTAATGGGAGAGAGGAGCCCTACCAAAGGATTAAGAGGACCCAAAAGGTCCCTGGAGGGGGGAGACATAAAGAACTATTTTGGGGGGGGGGCAAAGGAGTTTGGGGTCTTTTAGAGAGGTTTGCAGGGGTTTGAGGGTGTTTGGGGTCCCTTAATGTGGGTTTAATGGGAGAGAGAAGGCCCAGCAAAGGATTAGGGGGGCTCAAGGGGTCCCTGAGGGGGGGAATAGGGGTCTTGGGGGAGGTTTGGGGTCCCTGGGGGGGGAACTTGGGGTCCGGGGGAGGTTTTGGGGTGCTTCCGGTCACCATCATGTAGGGGTCATCGATGAGCGGGTAGAAGAAGTCCGTGGTCTGCACGAGGGAGAGCCCGCCGTGGCGCAGGGGGATGACGCACGAGTCCAGCCCAATGCCTGGGGAGGGGCGTGGTCAGAGCAAGACACGCCCCCTTTCCCCCTTGACCACGCCCCCTTCCTCTTTGCTCCCCTCCCTCCTCCCCGCTGCCCTTTGCCCCTCTCGCCCTTTGCCCCCTCCACGTGCCCCCCCCCCCCGGGGCCCAGCTCCGTTCCTCACCCAGCACCGGGGCCCCGTTTCCGCCGCCGCCGCCTCCGCTCGGTTCCGCCTCCGGCTCCGGTTCGGGCCCTGCCCCGCGGCCCAGGCGCTGCTCGTCCCCGAAGGCCGACAGGAGCCGGAGCAGGGCCTCCTGCGGGACCTTGCAGCCTCAGCCCCGCAGCTCCCCGAAGGCCGTGAGGCGCCAGCCCGGGCCCAGCCCCAGCGAGGCCGGCTCGAACGGGCGGTACCCGGAGGGAGCGGCAGCGGCGGCGGCTGCGTCCACCGGCGCCGCCATCTTGGACTGAGCGGGGCCTCCGGGAGCGGGCGCTGAAGAGAAGCGGGGCGCCGCTCGCGATTGGTTGAGAGGGGAGAGGGGAGGCGGGGAGAAAGGGCGGGGGAGAGCGGTGATTGGGTGGTGGGGAAAAGGGCGGGGAAAGGAGGTGGTGTCGGCCGCTATTGGTTGAGAGGGGAGGCGGAGAGAAAAGGCGGGGAGAGCGGTGATTGGGTAATGGGGAAAGAGGCGGGGGAAGGAGGAGGTGTCGGCCGCTATTGGTTGAGAGGGGAGGCGGGGAGAAAGAGCGAGGGAGAGCGGTGATTGGCTTGTGGGAAAAGGGGCGGGGAAAGGAGGTGGTGTCGGTCGCTATTGGTTGAGAGGAAAGCCGGGGAGAAAAGGCGGGGAGAGCGGTGATTGGGTGATGGGGAAAGGGGCGGAGAAAGGAGGAGGTGTCGGTCGCTATTGGCTGGAAAGGGGTAGGGAGGCGGGGCGAGGGCGGGGATTGGGAGGGAGGAGGAAGGAGGTGAGGCGAGCAGGGATTGGACGGTGAGGAAAAGGCGGTGGGATTGGGTGACAGGGGGAAGGAGGCAGGACGAGAAGTGATTGGAGGGGGTGGTGGGAGGAAGCGAGCGGGGATTGGACGGTGGGGAAAGAGGCGGGGCCGCCCCGGGAGCGTTGCGGGAAAGCCGGGATTGGCGGGGCTCGCTCTGATTGGCCAGCAGCGCGAAGGGGGCGGGACGAAAAGAGCGGAACGGGCGGGGATTGGTGGAGGCTTCCCGCAGCCTCCAGCGGCCCCTCTCTGGGCGGTGCCGCGCCGGGACCGGAAGCGGATGTGACGCCGGATGCGGAAGTGCCGCGCTGTAGCGGGGCAGGTGCCACCATGGCGGCGGCGGCAGCGGTGGGGGAGGGCGGCGGCGAGAGCGGAAGCACGGCAGGTGAGGGGGGGAGGGGTATGGGGGGCCATAGGGGGAGTATGGGGCGGTATAGGGGGGCTATGGGGGCTATAGAGGGGTTATAGGGGAGCTGTGGGGCTTATAGAGGGGCTGTAGGACCTGTAGGGGGGCTATGGGGCCTATAGAGGGGCTATACGGGGGCTATGGGGGCTATAGAGGGGTTATAGGGTCCTAGGGGGGCTATAGGGGGCCTATGGGGCCTATAGAGGTTCTATAGCGGGGCTGTGAGGCCTATAGGGGGGCTATGGCGGTTATAGAGGGGCTATGGGGGGGCTATGGGGCCTATAGAGGGGCTATACAGGGGTTATAGAGGGCTTATAGGGGACTAGGGGGTCTACAGGGGGCCTATGGGGCATATAGAGGGGTTATAGGGGTGCTATGGGGGCCATAGGGGGTCTCTATGGGGCGGGTGTTGGTCTCTATGGAGCAGATGCGGTTCTCTATGGGGCAGGTGCAGGTCTCTATGGGGCAGGTGTGGGTCTCTATGGGGCAGCTGTGGGTCTCTATGGATCAGTTATGGGTCTCTATGGGGTGGCTGTGGGTCTCCTTGGGTCCGTTATGGATCTCTATGGGGCAGCTGTGGGTCTTTATGGGTCGGTTACGGGACTCTGTGGGTCTATAATGGGCCTCTATGGGTCAGTTACGGGTCTCTCTGGGTCCGTTATAGGGCAGCTGTGGGTCTCTATGGTCTGTTATGTGTCTCTATGGGTCTGTATGGGGCGGGGGTGGGTCGCTGTGGGGCAGCCCCACTGACCCGCCCCCCAGCGTGGCTGCGTGGCGCCAGCCTGGCCGTGCTGGTGCTGCAGAACGCGTCGCTGGTGCTGAGCATCCGCTACGTGCGCACGCGGCCGGGGCAGCGCTTCCGGCCCAGCACCGCCGTGGTCCTGGCCGAGCTCCTCAAGGGCGGCGCCGGCTTCGTGCTCCTCGTCCTGCAGCACCGAGGTCAGCGCCCGGGGGGTGCGATGGGGGGGGCATTGGGGGACATGGGGGGCATTGGGGGACATGGGGGGCATTGGGGGACATGGGGGAATTGGGGGACATGGGGGCATTGGGGGACATGGGGGCATTGGGGGACATGGGGGGCATTGGGGGACATGGGGGCACTGGGGGACATGGGGGCATTGGGGGACATGGGGGAATTGGGGACCCTATGGGGGTATTGGGGTCATTGGGACATGGGGGACATGGGGGGTGTGGGCTATTGGGGGGACATGGGGGCATTGGGTGCCAATGGGTGTCAGTGTGCACCATTGGGTGTCACTGTACACCATTGTGTGCCATTGGGTGTCTCTGGGTGCCACTGGGTGTTATTGTGCACCATTGGGTGGCATTGGGTGTCACTATACACTGTTGGGTGCCATTGGGTGTCATTGTGCACCATTGGGTGCCACGGGGTGTCTCTGGGTGTCATTGGGTGTCACTGTGCACCGTTGGGTGCCATTGGGTGTCATTGTGCACCGTTGGGTGCCACGGCGTGTCTCTGGGTGCCATCGGGTGCCATTGGGTGTCACCGTGCACCGTTGGGTGCCACGGGGTGTCTCTGGGTGCCGTTGGGTGTCACCGTGCACCGTTGGGTGCCGTTGGGTGTCACCGTGCACCGCTGGGTGCCACGGGGTGTCTCTGGGTGCCGTTGGGTGTCACCGTGCACCGTTGGGTGCCGTTGGGTGTCACCGTGCACCGTTGGGTGCCACGGGGTGTCTCTGGGTGCCGTTGGGTGTCACCGTGCACCGTTGGGTGCCATTGGGTGTCACCATGCACCGTTGGGTGCCACGGGGTGTCTCTGGGTGCCATTGGGTGTCACCGTGCACCGTTGGGTGCCATTGGGTGTCACCGTGCACCGTTGGGTGCCACGGGGTGTCTCCGGTGCCACAGGCAGCGTGCGGCAGGCGCTGGGCAGCCTGCAGGGGGCGCTGTGGGGGCAGGCGGGGGACACTCTGCGCCTGGCCGTGCCCTCGCTCATCTACACCCTGCAGAACAACCTCCAGTACGTGGCCATCTCCAACCTGCCCGCGGCCACCTTCCAGGTGGGGCAAGGGGGCAAGGGGGGCAATGGGGACAGTGGGGGCAATGGGGACAGTGGGGGTAATGGGGACAATGGGGGACAATGGGGGGTAATGGTAATGGGGACAGTGGGGGGTAATGGGGGACAATGGGGGTAATGGAGACAATGGGGGTAATGGAGACAATGGGGGGGAATGGGGGCAATGGGGGTGATGGAGACAATGGGGGTAATGGAGACAATGGGGGGGAATGGGGGTAATGGGAGCAATGGGGGTGATGGGGGCAATGGGGACAATGGGGGTAATGGAGACAATGGGGGGGAATGGGGGTAATGGGAGCAATGGGGGTGATGGGAGCAATGGGGACAATGGGGGTAATGGAGACAATGGGGGGGAATGGGGGTAACGGGGGCAATGGGAGCAATGGGGATAATGGGGGCAATGGGGACAATGGGGGTAATGGAGATGATGGGGGTAACGGGGGCAATGGGAGCAATGGGGGTAATGGGGACAATGGGGGTAATGGGGGCTGTCCCCATAGGCGATGCAGTCCCCTTAGGTGATGCTAAACCTATAGGGGCAATGCTGACCCCATAGATGTCCTTGTCCCTATGGTACCCGCATAGGTGATCCTGTCCCCATAGGTGCCTGTGTCCCTATGGTACCCCTGTAGATGATGCAGTCCCCATAGACGCCCCATCCCCATGATACCCTCGTAGGTGCACTCTCCCTATTGGTGCCCCCATAGGCAATGCACTCCCCATAGGTGATGCTGAACCTATAGGGGCGATGCTGACCCCATAGGTGCCTGTGTCCCTATGGTACCCCCGTAGATGATGCAGTCCCCATAGACGCCCCATCCCCATGATATCCCCATAGGTGCTCTCTCCCTATTGGTGCCCCATAGGCGACGCAGTCCCTATGGTGCCCCATTGCCACCGCGGCCCCACGCCCGCCGCTCCCCCGCAGGTCACCTACCAGCTCAAGATCCTCACCACGGCCGTGTTCTCGGTGCTGCTGCTCGGCACCCCCTTGTCCCGCACCCAATGGCTCTCCTTGGCGCTGCTCTCCGTTGGCGTCGCCTTGGTGCAGGCCGAGCAAGGCAGCGACACCGGTGACGCCACCGGTAACCCCGGCACGCCGCCGTCGGACGCGCCCCCCCCGCAGAGCTACGCCGTGGGGCTGGCGGCCGTGGCCGCCTCCTGCCTCTCCTCGGGCTTCGCCGGCGTCTACTTCGAGCGCCTGCTCAAGCGCCGCGGCGGCTCCATCTGGCTCCGCAACGTGCAGCTGGGCGCCGTGGGCACCGCGCTGGCCTTGGCCGCCATGGCCGCCACCGACGGCGCCGCCGTGGCCCGCGACGGCTTCTTCTACGGTTACACGGGCGCCGTGTGGGCCGTGGTGCTGAACCAGGCGGCCGGCGGGCTGCTCGTGGCCGTCGTGGTGCGCTACGCCGACAACATCCTCAAGGGCTTCGCCACGGCGCTCGCCATCCTGGCCTCCACCGCCGCCTCCGTGCCCCTCTTCGGCTTCCGGCCCCGCGCGCCCTTCCTGGCCGGCACGGCCCTGGTGCTGGCCGCCGTGTGCCTCTACGGCCGGCCCCAGCACCGCCAATGGCAGCGCCAGGATGAGGCCCCGCAGCAGCAGCAGCAGCAGCAGCAGGAGAGCGGCGCCAGCGGCAAGTCAGTGGGAGCGTGATGGGGATGGGGGGTGGGGAAGGGGGGGCTCATCCCATCCCCTCCCCCCATCAGCTGCACCCCAACTGAGACCCCAGGGAGATGGATGGGGGGTGAGGGCCTCGTGGGGTCGTTGATGAGGCTCGTTGAGGGGTGGGAGCCATTGGGCGTCATTAATGGGCCATTGAGGTTCATTAAGTGATGGGACCCAGTGGGGCTCATTAATGGCTCATGATTCATTAAGGAATGGGACCCATTGGGGCTCATTGATAGCCCAGTGGCGTTCATTAATGGGCCATTGAGGTTCATTAATCGATGGGACCCATTGGATTTATTCATGGCCCATTAAGGTTCATTGGGTGATGGGGACCCATTGGGTCCATTGAGGTTCATTGGGTGATGATGGGAACCCATTGAGGTTCATTGGGTGATGGGAACCCATTGAGGTCCATTGGGTGATGGGAACCCATTGAGGTCCATTGGGTGATGGGAACCCATTGAGGTCCATTGGGTGATGGGGGCCGTTAATAGTGGGGACCCTTTGGTGTGCATCACGAGTCATTGGGTGACAGGGGAACCAATCAGGCTTCATTAGGTGGCGGGACCCCATTGTGGTTCATTAATGGTGGAGGTTCATTGGGGTGATGGGGGCCCCATTCATGCTCATTAGGTGCCAGGGGACCTCATTAGTGCTGGGGTCCATCAAATGATGAAGGACACTGGGGGGGGCCCATTGGGTGATGGGGACCCATTGAGATCCATTGGGTGATGGGGACCCATTGAGATCCATTGGGTGATGGGGACCCATTGGGCTCTTTCCTGGTGGGGGGAGGGGCAGGACCCCCGTTTCTTTGGGGGGGTGGGGGGAGGGGCCGCGGAGGGTTTTTTAACTGTGATTTGGGGCTAATAAAGGCGGATTTGGCAAACGGGCGCGTGCTGCGGGGGGGCGGGGCACTAACCACTGACCCCCTCTTTGGGCTATGGAGACCCCTATAGCACCTATATGGATCCCTCCTTTGGGGCTACATAGAGACCTCCCTGAGGCCATAGAAGAGCCATAGAGATCCCCCTTGAGCAATATGGGAGCCATAGGGACCCCTGCAGGCCCTATAGAATCCATAGGGATCCCCTCCAGGCCCTATAGAACCCATAGGCACCCCCACAGGAGCGCAGAGGATCTATCGACATCTGCCCCACAGCCACTTAACACCCATAGGGACCCCTCAGGCCATATAGGATCTATAGGGGACCCCCCCCATGGGGCCCTATAGGATCCATAGGGTCCATGGCAGCGCCACCGAGGGTCCCTGGGCCCTCAGCTCCGGGCTCTCTCTCTCTTGCAGGTCTCCTCCTTCCAAGGACAAAGGCTCCTGATGGCATCCAGCAGCCCCCCCCGGGCCCTATCCTGGCCCTATAGGGGCCATAGAGACCCTGATGGGCCTTATTGAGACTGTACAGCCCCCCCTCCATGGGCCCTATGGGGTCCTATAGACACTCCCCCCCCCCCCCAATCGGGTTTATTGTTGCTTTTTGGGCTGAATTAAGGTTGTTTTGGTCAAGCGTTGCCCCGATGGACTCTATAAGGGGGGCTCCCATTGGTCAAGCCACGAAGTGTGGAGACGAGGCTTTTATTGGTCCTAGAGCGGCCCATAGAGAGGAGGCTCCGGGTGGGCGCTGCTCTATGGTCCCCAGTGGCTCCCAGTGGCTCCCAGTGGCTCCCAGTGGCTCCCAGTAGCTCCCAGTGGCTCCCAGTGCCCCTCAGCGCAGCAGCCGGGCCAGCACCCAGCAGCCCAGCGTCACCCAATGGCTCGCCCAGTTCAGCTCCGACCACTTGCGGATGGTGTAGGACATCCCATAGCCCTTAATGGGGGGGGGGTGAAGAGCACAGTGATGGGTGGGGGGCACCCCACATCCTGACCCCACCCCCCTTTATTGGGGGGAGGGGGGGGTTGGGGTCCCACCTGCTCCTCAATGGTGTCGTCGGCCTCCAGGTCGAAGAGGGCACCCAGGTAGGAGAGGTGGAAGAGGGCGATGGCGCCCAGGGCTCCGTTCAGCGCCCGCACCCATAGGGTCTATGGGGGAAAAGGAAGGGGGGTGTCCATAGGGAGCCTATAGTGACTCCCCCATAGGAATCCTATAGGGACCCCCCTATAGAGACCCCCCACAGGGACCTCCCCCATAGGGATCCTATAGAGATCCCCCGAATTGGCCCCCCACAGGGCCCCTCCAATAGAGGGATCCCCCCATAGGGACCCTATGGAGATGCCCCCCATAGGGCCCCCCCCATAAGGATCCTATAGAGATGCCCCCCATAGGGACCCCCCCATAGGGACGCCCCCATAAGGATCCTATAGAGATGCCCCCCATAGGGCCCCCCCCATAAGGATCCTATAGAGATGCCCCCCATAGGGACGCCCCCATAAGGATCCTATAGAGATGCCCCCCCATAAGGATCCTATAGAGATGCCCCCCATAGGGACGCCCCCATAAGAATCCTATAGAGATGCCCCCCATGGGCCCCCCCATAAGGATCCTATAGAGATGCCCCCCATAGGGACGCCCCCATAAGGATCCTATAGAGATGCCCCCCATGGGCCCCCCATAAGGATCCTATAGAGATGCCCCCCATGGGCCCCCCCATAAGGATCCTATAGAGATGCCCCCCATAGGGCCCCCCCATAAGGATCCTATAGAGATGCCCCCCATAGAGACGCCCCCATAAGAATCCTATAGAGATCCCCCCCATAGGGCCTCACGTCCTTGTGCCGATGGGAGCAGCCGGGGGGGCAGCGCTTGGACAGGACACAGGCGTCAAAGATGGCAGCGAGGCGCTGGCGCAGCACTGGGAGGGGAGGGCGGGGTCAGCGGAGGCCACGCCCACAATCATCCAGACCACGCCCACCGTATATTCATTACCCCAAATCCCGCCCATTCCCCTTAGCTCCGCCCCCCCAGTCATGCGCATTGTCGCAGCCTTAAGCACCACCCAATCACCAGCTCCCGCCCACCAAAAAGCCCCGCCCATTGGCTCTAGACCCCGCCCCCCTCCTGGCCCCGCCCCTCCCGTCCTTAAAGGGCCCGCGCTGACTGTGCTCGCTGTAGGTGATGAGGCCGAGGGAGAGGAGGACGGCGGCCAAGTGGAAGCTGAGGCCCTGCAAGGATACGGGGGGGGTCAGGGGGGGTTTGGGGGTCCCCAAGGGGGGGGGGGGGGTTGGGGGCCCCATCGGGGGATTTGAGGGGTCCCCAAGGGGGGTCCCGGGGCTCACGTGCAGGAGGGCGCTGGCCGCGTACGTCCCCAGCACGGCCGCGAAGGTGCCCAGGCACCGGGCGGTCTGGAACACGTCTGCAATGGAGGCAGCGGTTCCAGCAGGGCCACATCCCGGTACCCCCCCCGCATCCATCCCAGTACCTCCCCATTCATTTTAGTCCATCCCAGTCGCTCCCAGTGCATCCCAGCCGCTCCCAGTCCATCCCAGTCGCTCCCAGTCCATCCCAGTCGCTCCCAGTCCATCCCAGTCCATCCCAGTCCATCCCAGTCGCTCCCAGTCCATCCCAGTCGCTCCCAATCCACCCCAGTCCATCCCAGTCGCTCCCAATCCACCCCAGTCCATCCCAGTCGCTCCCAGTCCATCCCAGTCGCTCCCAGTCCATCCCAGTCGCTCCCAATCCACCCCAGTCCATCCCAGTCGCTCCCAGTCCACCCCAGTCACTCCCAGTCCACCCCAGTCGCTCCCAGTCCATCCCAATCACTCCCAGTCCATCCCAGTCGCTCCCAGTCTATCCCAGTTGCTCCCAGTCCATCCCAGTCCATCCCAGTCGCTCACACGTGTGCAGCCAGCGGGACATGGGCAGGTTCCAATTGGTCACCACGTCCGCCATGGACCGGGGCAGCTCCACCCGCAGCGGCCGCGACACCGCCAGGTCCCTTTAACAGAGATGGGGGGGGGTGTCCCCAGTGCATCCCCCACATCCCCACCCCATTGCCCCCACCCCATTGCCCCCATCCCCACCCCATTGCCCCCAGCCCACCCCATCCCCACCCCATTTCTATCAAAATTCCCACCCCATTGTCCCCACCCCATCCCCATCCCCACCCCAGCCCATCCCCATTTCCACCCCATTGCCCCCACCCCATCCCCATCCCCACCCCACTGCCCCCACCCCATTGCCCTCATTCCCACCCCATTGCCCCCACCCCACCCCATTGCCCCCAGCCCACCCCATTGCCCCCATCTCCACCCCATTGCCCCCATCCCCACCCCATTGCCCCCACCCCACCCCATTGCCCCCCATCTCCGCCCCATTGCCCCCATCCCACCCCATTGCCCCCATCTCCACCCCATTGCCCCCATCCCCACCCCATTGCCCCCACCCCATCCCCACCCCACCCCATTGCCCCCATCTCCACCCCATTGCCCCCAGCCCACCCCATTGCCCCCACCCCACCCCATCCCCATCCCACCCCATTGCCCCCACCCCACCCCATCCCCATCCCACCCCATTGCCCCCATCTCCACCCCATTGCCCCCATCTCCACTCCATTGCCCCCAGCCCACCCCATTGCCCCCATCTCCACCCCATTGCCCCCAGCCCACCCCATTGCCCCCAGCCCACCCCATTGCCCCCATCCCCACCCCATTGCCCCCATCTCCACCCCATTGCCCCCATCTCCACCCCATTGCCCCCAGCCCACCCCATTGCCCCCATCCCACCCCATTGCCCCCACCCCACCCCATTGCCCCCATCCCACCCCGTTGCAGTTCCCGTGCCCACCACTGGAGGTGCTCGTGCCGCACGGAGGCCCCGGAGCCGCTCAGCGTGGCCGTGGCCTCGGACAGGAAGGCCACGAAGTAGTTACTGAAGTGGAAGGAGAGCGCGCTCTCGTAGGCACGGAGCCACCTGGGGGGGCATGGGGGGGGGACATGGGGGTCAATGAGAGGGGGACATGGGGGTCAATGAGAGGGGGACATGGGGGTCAATGGGGGCTGTGGGGACATGGGGGTCAGTGGGGGGGGACATGGGGGTCAATGGGGGGGTGTGGGGACATGGGGGTCAATGGGGGGGACATGGGGGTCAATGGGGGCTGTGGGGACATGGGGGTCAATGAGAGGGGGCATGGGGGTCAATGGGGGGACATGGGGGTCAGTGGGGGTCGGACATGGGGGTCAATGAGAGGGGGACATGGGGGTCAGTGGGGGGGACATGGGGGTCAGTGGGGGGGACATGGGGGTCAGTGGGGGGACATGGGGGTCAGTGGGGGTCATATGGGTCAGTGGGGGACATGGGGGTCAATGTGGGGGGGACATGGGGGTCAGTGGGGGGGTGGGGGTCAGTGGGGGGTCCATGGGGGTCAGTGGGGGGGGTCAATGGGAGGGGGACATGGGGGTCAATGGGGGGGGCATGGGGGTCAGTGGGGGGGCATGGGGGGTCAGTGGGGGGAGCATGGGGGTCAGGGGGGTCCATGGGGGTCAGTGGGGGGGACATGGGGGTCAATGAGGGGGGGCATGGGGGTCAGTGGGGGGGACATGGGGGTCAGTGGGGGGGGGCCATGGGGGTCAATGGGAGGGGGACATGGGGGTCAGGGGGGGACATGGGGGTCAGTGAGGGGGGGACATGGGGGTCAGTGGGGGTCGGACATGGGGGTCAGTGGGGGTCGGACATGGGGGTCAATGAGAGGGGGCATGGGGGTCAGTGGGGGGGGACATGGGGGTCAGTGGGGGTCGGACATGGGGGTCAATGGGGGGGGACATGGGGGTCAGTGGGGGGGGTCAATGGGAGGGGGACATGGGGGTCAGTGGGGGGGGACATGGGGGTCAGTGGGGGGGACATGGGGGTCAATGAGAGGGGGACATGGGGGTCAATGAGAGGGGGCATGGGGGTCAGTGGGGGGGGCAATGAGGGTCAGGGCATGGGGGTCAGTGGGGGGGGGACATGGGGGTCAATGAGAGGGGGACATGGGGGTCAGTGGGGGGGACATGGGGGTCAGTGGGAGGGGGACATGGGGGTCAATGAGAGGGGGCATGGGGGTCAATGAGAGGGGGACATGGGGGTCAGTGGGGGGGGACATGGGGGTCAGTGGGGGGGGGACATGGGGGTCAATGAGAGGGGGACATGGGGGTCGGACATGGGGGTCAATGAGAGGGGGACATGGGGGTCAGTGGGGGGGACATGGGGGTCAGGGGGGGACATGGGGGTCAGTGAGTGGGGGGGGCATGGGGGTCAGTGGGGGGGTATGGGGGTCAGGGAAGGGGGGGCACAGGGGTCAGTGAGGGGGGGACAATGAAGGGGGGGCCCATAGGGGACAATGGGGGGGGGGCATAGGGAACAGTGAGAGGGTCCCATAGGGAAAAATGAATTGGAGATCCCATAGAGGACAATGAGTGGGGGGGCATGGACACATTGGGGGGGTCCCCCCCATCCCACTGTGCCGCCCCCCCAGTTCTGACCCTCACCTGGCCAAGACGCTCCTGGGCAGCACAAAGGGAAACAGAGAGAGTCAGTGGGGGGGGTTCAAGGTGTTTTTGGGGGGTTTCAGGGTCATTTCAGGGGTGATTTCGGGCTGTTTCAGGGGGGGTTGGGGCGATTTGGGGCTGGTTTTGGTGGTTTGCGGTGTTTCAGGGTGATTTTGGGGTATTTCAGGGTGATTTCGGCGTGATTTGGGCTGTTTGAGGGTGTTTTGGGGCTGTTTGAGGGTGTTTTGGGGCTGCTTGGGGCTGTTTTTGGTGGTTTGCGGTGTTTCAGGGTGATTTTGGCCTATTTCAGGGTGATTTTGGGGTGTTTCAGGGTGGTTTCAGGGTGATTGGGGCTGTTTCAGGGTGTTTTAGCAGTGATTTGGGCTGTTTCAGGGAAGTTTTGGGGTGTTTCGGGGTGTTTTTAGCTATTTCAGGGTGATTTGGGGCTGTTTCAGGGGGGTTGGGGCTGTTTCAGGGTGTTTTGGGGCTGTTTCAGGGGGGGTGGGGCTGTTTCAGGGTGGTTTTGGGGTGTTTCAGGGTGATTTGGGCTGTTTTGGGGCTGTTGCAGGGTGGTTTGGGGCTGTTTTGTGGTGATTTGGGGCTGTTTCAGGGTGATTTGGGCTGTTTTGTGCTGTTTCAGGGTGGTTTTGGGGTGATTTGGGCTGTTTTGTGGTTTTTCAGGGTGGTTTGGGGCTGTTTTGTGGTGTTTCAGGGTGGTTTTGGGGTGATTTGGGCTGTTTTGTGGTGTTTCAGGGAGGTTTGGGGCTGTTTTGTGGTGTTTCAGGGTGGTTTTGGGGTGATTTCGGCTGTTTTGTGCTGTTTCAGGGTGGTTTGGGGCTGTTTTGTGGTGTTTCAGGGTGGTTTTGGGGTGATTTGTGGTGTTTCAGGGTGGTTTTGGGGTGATTTGGGCTGTTTTGGGGCTGTTGCAGGGTGGTTTTGGGGTGATTTGGGCTGTTTTGTGGTGTTTCAGGGTGGTTTTGGGGTGATTTGGGCTGTTTTGTGGTGTTTCAGGGTGATTTGGGCTGTTTTGGGGCTGTTGCAGGGTGGTTTGGGGCTGGTTTGTGGTGTTTCAGGGTGGTTTGGGGCTGTTTTGTGGTGTTTCAGGGTGGTTTTGGGGTGATTTGGGCTGTTTTGGGGCTGTTGCAGGGTGATTCGGGGCTGGTTTGGGCTCTCACTGGTGCAGGGCGTGGGCTCCGTACAGCGGCAGGAGGCAGGAGAACAGGAAGGGCGCGAGGCACGTGGACACCAGGAGGCAGAGCAGGGCCAGGCCCAGGCTGCGCAGCCCCTTCCGGGCCCAGGCCATGCTCTGGGGGGGACCCCAAAACACTGACACCCCCTTAACCACAACACCCCCTTGACCCCAACACCCCCTTAACCCCAACACCCCCTTAACCCCAACACCCCCCTTAACCCCAACACCCCCTTAACCCCAACACCCCCTTAACCCCAACACCCCCTTAACAACAACACCCCCTTAACCCCAACACCCCCCTTAACCCCAACACCCCCCTTAACCCCAACACCCCCTTAACCCCAACACCCCCCTTAACCCCAACACCCCCTTAACCCCAACACCCCCCTTAACCCCAACACCCCCCTTAACCCCAACACCCCCTTAACCCCAACACCCCCCTTAACCCCAACACCCCCCTTAACCCCAACACCCCCCCTTAACCCCAACAGACCCCACTCCCCATTGCCCCCAATGTCCTTGTGCCCCCATTGCCCCCCATGTCCCCAAACACCCCCATTCCCCCAATGACCCTGTCCCCCCCATGTCCCCCAGTGCCATGTCCCCCAATGTCCTTATACCCCCATTGCCCCCCACGTCCCCAAACGCCCCCATTGCCCCTGTCCCCCCATGACCCCAATGTCCTTGTGCCCCCCAATGTCCGTTACCCCAATGCCCCCCAGGTCCCCAAATGCCCCATTGCCCCTGTCCCCCCATTGCCCCCAATGCCCCCCATGTCCTCAAATGCCCCCAATGCCCCTATGCACCCCATCGTCCTTGTGCCCCCATTGCCCCCCAATGCCCCTGTCCCCCCCCATTGCCCCCCCCCTTTCCCCACGTACCAGGGGGGGCCCCTCCACTGCCCGTAAATAGGCCCCAAAGGGCTCCCAGGGCCCGAAGACGACGGAGCCGGGGGAGCAGAGGTACCCCAGGACCTGGGCGGGGGTCGGCTCCCCCCCCGCCCCCCCCCGGTCCAGGTCGAAGCCCAAGGACACGGCCTTCATGGCCACCACCATCTGCGCCCCTGCCCCCCCCCCCCACTGGGGTCAGCACCAACCAGTGGGGGGGGGACCCAAAGATGGGGGGGGTATAAAGGGGGGGGGAAGGGACCCCCAATGGGGGGAGAACCAAGGATGGGGGTAGGGGACCCAAAGATGGGGTCTATAAAGGGGGGGATCCCAATGTGAGGGGGGACCCAACGATGGGGGAGCATAAAAGGAGGGGGGGACCCAAAGATGGGGGGGTATAAAGGGAGGGTGGACCCCAATGTGAGGGGAGACCCAAAGATGGGGGGGCAGAAAGGGAGGGGGGGGGCAATGTGGGGGGAGACACAAAGATGGGGATGATATAAAGGGAGGGGGAGAACCCCAATGTGGGGGGGAACCAAAGATGGGGGGGCCCTCACCTCGCATCTTGTGCCAGGTCACCGTGTCCACCATGTGCAGCTCCCTGTGGGAAAGGGGGGGTCCCAGTTCAACCCAGTTTGTCCCAGTGCACCCCAGTTCATCCGGGTTCATCCCACTGCCCCCCTGCTCCAGTTCCCAGCATCCCCAGTGCATTCCAGTTCTCCCCATACCATCCATAGCCCCCCATAGCCCCAATGTCTCCCCATACCCCCCCCAGCCCCCTATATCCCCTATGCCCCTATAAGCCCCCACATTATTCCAGCAGCAGGGAGCAGAGCACGTCCCCCCCATAACCCCCACATACAATCCATGGCCTTCCATAGCCCTTCATGTCCCCCCATACCCCCATATTCCCATTTCACCCCATTACCCCCCATTATCCCAATTGCCCCCCATTGCCATCTATAACCCCATATCTCCATTAACCTATATTGCCCCCCAATACCCCCTATATCCCCATTCCCCCATCACCTCCATATCCCCATTGCCCCCCATATCCCATTGCCCCCATAACCCCATTATCCCCACTGACCCCATAACCTCCCATTGACCCCATAACCTCATTACCGCCATAGCCCCCCATTACCCCCATAACCCCATTACCTCCCATTGACCCCATAACCTCATTACCCCCCACTGACCCCATAACCCCATTACCCCCCATTACTCCCATTACCCCCATAGCCCCCATTGCCCCCCATTACTCCCATAGCACCCATTACCCCCATAGCCCCCATTACCCTCATTGACTCCATAACCCCATTACCCCCATTGACCCCATAACCCCATTACCCCCATAGCACCCATTACCCCCATAGCCCCCCATTACCCCATTGACCCCATAACCCCATTACCCCCATAGCCCCCATTACCCCGTTACCCCCATTACACCCATAGCCCCCCGTTACCCCCATAGCACCCATTACCCCCATAGCCCCCCATTACCCCCATAGCCCCCATTACCCCCATAGCCCCCATTAACCCCATTACCCCCATAGCCCCCCATTACCCCCATAGCCCCCATTACCCCCATGGCCCCCATTACCCCCATAGCCCCCATTACCCCCATAGCCCCCCATTACCCCCATAGCCCCCCATCACCCCCATAGCCCCCCATTACCCCCATAGCCCCCCATTCCCCCCATAGCCCCCCATACCCCCCATTACCCCCATACCCCCATTACCCCCATAGCCCCATCCCCCCATTCCCCCCTTACTCCCCATGCCCCCCATCCCCCCCATCCCCCCATTACCCCCATAGCCCCATTACCCCCATAGCCCCCCATTACCCCCATAGCCCCCATTACCCCCATGGCCCCCATTACCCCCATAGCCCCCATTACCCCCATAGCCCCCATTACCCCCATAGCCCCCCATTACCCCCATTGACCCCATAACCCCATTACCCCCATAGCCCCCATTACCCCCATTACCCCCATAGCCACCATTACCCCCATAGCCCCCATTACCCCCATAGCCCCCCATTACCCCCATTACCCCCATTACCCCCATAACTCCCATAGGCCCCCATTACCCCCATAGCCCCCCATTACCCCCATTACCCCCATAGCATTACCCCATTTCCCCCCTCTTACCCCCCATTACCCCCATTGACCCCATAGCCCCCATTACCCCCATTACCCCCATAGCCCCCCATTACCCCCATAGCCCCCCATTACCCCCATAGCCCCCCATTACCCCAGCAGGAGGTAGCAGAGCGCGGCCAGGGCCAGGCAGAGCCCGCGCTGGCGGCGCGCGCGGCTGAGCGCCAGGGTGAGCGCGCACAGGGCGCTGAGCAGGGCCACCCACAGCGCGTGCGCCCCGAAGAAGTGGTGCAGCGCCAGGAGCCCCCCCGCCACGGCGCCTGCGTGCTTCCCGCCCCGAGGCAGCGCTGGGGGGGGGGCGCCAATGTTGGGGGGGGAAGGGGGATACAGACACCCCCTCCCCCACAATGGTGTCACCCAACCCAATGCGTTTCTGAGCCCCCCCCCCCCCCCCACGTGATGGGTGAATGGATGATTCCCCCCCCCAAAGGGTCAATGGGGGGTGTCCATAGACCCATAGAAGTAAGACCCCCCCCTCATCCCAATGGTGTAACCCACTCCAATACAAGCCCCCCCCAAAGGGTCAATGGTGTAACCCACCCCAATACAGGGGTGTCCCCCCCACCCAGGCAAGCCCCAAAGGGTCAAGGGGGGGGGGGGGAACGGACACATAAAACCCCCTCCCTCAATGGTGTCAGCCCAAGGCTTAGCCCCCCCCCACCCCATAATGGGTGAATGGATGAGCCCAGCCCTATGGGTCCCCCCTAATGCTTCTACCCCCACAATGCTTTGGGTCCCTTTAACCTCCTGCCCCCCCCATAACGGGTGAATGGACGAGCCCACCCCCTCCCCAGCCCTATGGGTCCCCCCTAATGCTTCCCCCCCCCCCAATGCTTTGGGTCCCTTTAACCTCCTGCCCCCCCCATAATGGGTGAATGGACGAGCCCACCCCCTCCCCAGCCCTATGGGTCCCCCCTAATGCTTCCCCCCCCTAATGCTTGGGGTCCCTTCAACCTCCTGCCCCCTCCAACTATGGGGACCCCCCCCAATGCTGCCCCCCCAATGACAGGGAGCCCCCCCAATGCTGCGCCCCCCAATGACGGGGACCCTCCCAATGCTGCCCCCCACAATGACGGGGACCCTCCCAATGCTGCCCCCCACAATGACAGGAAACCCCCCCAATGCTGCCCCCCCAATGACAGGGACCCCCCCCAATGGTGGGGACCCCCCCAATGCTGCCCCCCCAGTGACAGGGACCCCCCCAATGACAGGGACCCCCCAATGACAGGGACCCCCCCCGCACTCACGGAGCCGGTGCAGCAGCCGCGCCCCGAGGCAGAGCAGCAGCAGCGGCCAGAGCTGGGCCAGGCCCTGCCTCGCCGTGGGCACCACGCAGCCCGGCAGCACCTGAGCCGCGAACTCCCGCGGCGGCAGCGCCGCCATCACGGGACGGGGGGGGCTCGGAACTGGGGACCGGCGGCTTCCGGGACCCCCCCTCCGGTGCCCGGGTCCCCCCCTCGGTCCCGGTCCCGGTCCCGCAGGCCCCGAGGCCCGAACCTCACCCGGTGCCGCCGCCGCCGCTCTGAGGGGCCGGGGTCTGAGGTAAAGGGGCGGAGCTTCCGCAGCGACCAATGGGCTGCCGCTCTGCGGCCCCGCGTAGATGGGCTGGCCAATCAGAGCGCGGCGCGCCCGAACGGCGGGGCCGCCGTTGCTAAGGGCGGGGTGCGGTTGTGGCGGCGAGGGGGGTGATGGGAGAAGGGGGCGTGGCTCCCTGGGGGGCGTGGCCCTTTGTTAGAGGCGTGGCCTGGTTGCTAGGCAGCAGCGGGCACTGTTGCTAGGGGGCGTGACCACGTTCCTAGGGGGCGTGGCGCGGTTGCCTGGAGACGAAGGAGCGGGGTCTCCGCGCGGTGCATTGTGGGCCGGGAGGGGGTCGGTCCTCCAGGATCCCATAATGCCCTGCGCGCCCCGCCGCGGCCCAGTGCCCCCAGTATGGACCAGTACATCCTGCTGGGCCGCATCGGCGAGGGTGCGCACGGAGTCGTCTTCAAGGCCAAGGACCGGAAGGTGCGGGCCTGTGGGGCTTCTGTGGGGCTTCTGTGGGGCTTCTGTGGGGCTTCTGTGGGGCTTCTGTGGGGCTTCTGTGGGGCTTCTGTGGGGCTTCTGTGGGGCTTCTGTGGGGCTTCTGTGGGGATGTCTTTGGGGCTTCTGTGGGGATGTCTTTGGGGTGGCTCTGGGGTCTCTGTGAGGTCTCTATGTTGCCTTTTTAAGGTCTCTATGGGGATCTATGGGGTCTCTGTGGGTCTCTATGGGGGCTCTCTGCGGTCTGTATGGAGCTCTGTGGGTTTCTGTGGGGTTTTTATGGGGGCTCTATGCAGTCTCTATGGGTCTCTATGGGGGCCTCTATGAGGCTCTGTGGGGGCTGTATGGGGTGTATGGGGTCTCTGTGTCTCTATGGGGGCTCTATGGGGCTCTATGAGGTTTCTGTGGGTCTCTATGGCGTCTCTGTGGGTCTCTGTGGGGTCTCTATGGGGTCTCTCTGGGTCTCTGTGGGACTCTATGGGGCTCAGTGCAATGGGGACCCCCCTCTGTCCCCCCCCAGACCGGGGAGCTGGTGGCCCTGAAGAAGATCCCATTGCGGCGCCCTGAGGAGGGGCTGCCCCCCCAGACCCTGCGGGAGATCAAGGCCCTGCGCCACATCGAGGAGCACCCCCATGTATGTGGGGGTCCCCCATAACCCCCCTTATAACTCCCCTTATAGCCCCCTTATACGCCCCATAACCCTCTTTATGTCTTCCCATAATCTCCTTTTTATACCACCATAAACACTTTTATATCTCTCATAACCCCCATTATACTCCCTATAACCCCCCTGATAACCCCCATTAAAATCCCCCATAACCCCCTTTATCCCCCATAACCTCCTCTATACCCCACCATAAACTCCTTTATGCCCCCCCATTAACCCCCCTTTATACCCCCGTAACCTCCTTTATGCTCCCCATAACCCTCCTTATACCCTTTGATCCCCATGGCTGCCCCCTCTGTTCTCCCCCTTTATCCCCTCCCCTTGACCCCATGGCTGCCCCCTCTGTTCCCCCCTTTATCCCCTCCCCTTGACCCATGGCTGCCCCCCTCTGTTCCCCCCCGTTTATCCCCTCCCCTTGACCCCATGGCTGCCCCCTCTGTTCCCCCCTTTATCCCCTCCCCTTGACCCCATGGCTGCCCCCTCTGTTCCCCCCCTTTATCCCCTCCCCTTGACCCCATGGCTGCCCCCTCTGTTCCCCCCCTTTACCCCCTCCCCTTGACCCCATGGCTGCCCCCTCTGTCCCCCCCTTTATCCCCTCCCCTTGACCCCATGGCTGCCCCCTCTGTTCCCCCTTTATCCCCTCCCCTTGACCCCATGGCTGCCCCCTCTGTTCCCCCTTTACCCCCGCCCCTTGACCCCATGGCTGCCCCCTCTGTCCCCCCCCCCCCTTTATCCCCTCCCCTTGACCCCATGGCTGCCCCCCTCTGTTCCCCCCCTTTATCCCCTCCCTTTGACCCCATGGCTGCCCCCTCTGTTCCCCCCCTTTATCCCCTCCCCTTGACCCCATGGCTGCCCCCTCTGTTCCCCCCCTTTACCCCCTCCCCTTGACCCCATGGCTGCCCCCCATGTTCCCCCCCTTTACCCCCTCCCCTTGACCCCATGGCTGCCCCCCATGTTCCCCCCCTTTATCCCCTCCCCTTGACCCCATGGCTGCCCCCTCTGTTTCCCCCCTTGACCCCATGGCTGCCCCCTCTGTTCCCCCCTTTATCCCCTCCCCTTAACCCCATGGCTGCCCCCTCTGTTCCCCCCCTTTACCCCCTCCCCTTGACCCCATGGCTGCCCCCATGTTCCCCCCTCGCGGGTGCTGTTCCCAGGTTGTCCGCCTGGGGGCGGTGTTCGCGGCCGGCCCCGCCGTGGTCCTGGCTCTGGAGCTGCTCGTGGGGGACCTGGGGGGGCTCCTGCGCTCGGCGCCGGCGCCCTTGGCCCCCCCCCGCGTACGGGCGCTGCTCGCCATGACCCTGCGGGGGCTGAGCCACTGCCACCGGCACCACGTGATGCACAGGGTAAAGGGGGGGACCCCAAAACATGGGGGGACCCCAGAACGGGGGGAGGCACAAAGTGATACGGTTGGGTACCCCAAAACAGGGGGGATGGGCACAAAGTGCAATGGGGGGCCCCCCAAAACTGGGGGGGCCACCCTGAAACTTGAGGGGGGGCAAAATGGGGGGACCCTAAAAGTCCCTAAGGGGGGGGGGCACACCCCAAAATAGGATGGCCCAAAACTGGGGGGGGGGGGGGGGGGGGGGGGGGGCAGTGGAACTGGGGGGGGAGCGACCCCAGAACTGGGGGTACCCAGGAGTTGGGGGGGGTGGACACCATGTAAGTGATGGGGATGGGAATTGGGGGGGGGGGGAGCAAAATGGAGGTACTCTAAAAGTCACCCACAGATGGGGGGGTGCACCCCAAAATGGGATGACCCAGAAAGTGGGGGGAGGTCTTTGAGGTTGATGTAGGAGCTCATGGGAAGGGTCTCAAGGCTGATGGGGGGAATGGGACTCAGGGTGGGTACCCCAAGATCTGGGGGTGCCACCCCCCCATATCCGTGCCCCCCGTCCCCCCCCAATGCAGGACCTGAAGCCCGCGAACCTGCTGCTGGACGCCCACGGCCGCCTCAAGCTGGGGGACCTGGGGCTGGCGCGGGTGCTGGGCCCCCCTTGCACCCGCCCCTACAGCCACCAAGTGGCCACCAGGTACCCACCCCCCCCCAAACCCCTTCATCATTGGGGACCCCCCTTGGGTATTGGGGTCCATCCCCCCCATTGCTGCTCTTTAAGGTGGTACCGAGCCCCGGAGCTGCTCTACGGCGCGCGGGACTACGATGAAGGCGTTGATATCTGGTGAGTGCCCCCCCCCCAAATGGGTTCTTCCTGGTTTAAATGATGTTGGGACCCCCCCC